ATCATATCTGTATTTTATATTTATTTTTGTTTTTTAATTTTATTTAAGGAGACTCCTTGTCCAGCATGGAGCCCAGCACAGGGCTTGAACTCAAAACCCTGAGATCAAGACCTGAGCCAAGACCAAGAGTCTGATGCTCAACTGGCTGAGCCACCCAGGTGCGCCTGTATTTTGTGTATGAAGTGAGTTTCTTCTAGCTAGCATACAGTTAAGCCTTGCTTTTTTTTTTTTTTTTTTAAGGTTATTTATTTATTTTGAGACAGAGACAAAGCACGAGCATGGGAAAGGCAGAGAGAGAGGGAGAGAGAGAGCTGCACTGCCAACTCAGAGCCCAACGGGGGGGGCTCTATCTTTAACCGCGAGACCATGAGTAAGAGCCAGACGCTCAACTGGCTGAGCCACCCAGGTGCTCCAAGTCTTGGCTTTTAAAAATCTGACAATTCCTTATAATTGGAGGATTTAGCCATTTACTTTTTATAAAAACAACTTTGTTGAGATATAATTTACATACCACAAAACCTATTCATGTCAATTGTACAATTCAATAGTTTTTAGTATATGGAGAGATTGAATAGTAGCATTTTTAGTAGATTCACAGAGATTAGTATTTTCAACAGACGGTCATAAAACCATTACCATAATCTAATTTTAGATCATTTTCATCATCTTAAAAAAAAAGCTGGTACCCATTAGTTTTCATTCCTCACTTCCATTCCCCCAACCTAAGCAAACACACCTTTTTCTGTCTCTGTAAATTTGCTTAGTCTGGATTTTTCCTATTGATGGAATCATATAATATGTGGCCTTTTATGACTGACTTGTTCCACTTAGCATCATGTTTTCAGGTTCGTCCATGCTGTGGCACCTATCAGCACTTCATTTCTTTTATTTACTAGATAATATTCCACGGGGCACCTGGGTGGCTCAGTCGGTTAAGTGTCTGGCTTTGATTCAGATCATGATCTCGAGGTTCATGAGATCGAGCCTTGCTTTGGACTCCATGCTGACAGCTGAGAGCCGGGAGCCTGCTTCAGATTCTGTGTCGTTCTCTCTCTCTGCCCCTCCCCACCTCTCAAAAATAAACAAATATTGAAAAAAGCTTAAAAAAAATTCCATTGCATGGTGATGCCCCTTTTTATTTATCCATTTATTAATTGATAGACACTGGGTTTTTTCCACTTTGGGGCTGTTACGAATAATGCATTTTGAACATTCTTGTATAAATTTTGTGTTTTCATTTGCATCTCTCTTGGGTACATATCTAGGAGTGGAGTTGCTGGCTCAGATGCTAACTCTAGGTTTAACCCCTTGTTCACCTTCATTTTTGAAAGATATTTAAAAAATCATGGGGCGCCTGGGTGGCTTAGTCGGTTAAGCGTCCGACTTTCGCTTAGGTCATGATCTCGCGGTTCGTGGGTTCCGGCCTCGCGTCGGGCTCTGTGCTGACTGCCAGCTCAGAGCCTGGAGCCTGTTTCAGTCTGTGACTCCCTCTCTCTCTGACCCTCCCCTGCTCACGCTGTCTCTCTCTCTCTCTCCTAGAAATAAATAAAAACATTTAAAAAAATCATGTACGGATGCATCTCTGGAGTTAATATTAATTTTCACTTTTTATTCTATTAATATATTACTTTATATGGAGTTATAGTAATATATTTACAAACAGTGAGCCATTTCATTTCCAAATATTAAGCCACTTTTAGAGTATACTGTACTTGATAATGATGTATTATTCTTCTGGCATTCTGGTGAAATTGTCAGCTCATGCAGTTTTTGGGAATAAGTAAGATAAGTTTCTGGGATTGGGTTTCTTTGTTTTTCGCTTTCTTCATCAGGTTTTCATCTTACTGCTATGCTTGCTTCATGAAAAGAATTTTGAAGATTTCCTTCTGTTTCTGTGTTTTAGAAGAGGAATAGGGTTATCTGTTTAGGTGTTTGGTTAAATTCTGCAGCACTATCTGGAGCTTTTTGAAGGAGCAATTTTTTGACAGCTCTACTCTATTTTTTAAAATTTTAACTAGGCTCCATGCCCATATGTGGGGTTTGGACTCATGACCCTGAGATTGAGAGCAAGAGCGAGAGGTGCAAGCTCTACTGACGAGTCAGTCAGGGGCCCCAACAACTTCACTCTATTGAGATGGGTCTGTTAATCGTTCTCTCTCTTCTGGGATAATTTAGGTAATTTGCATCATGATAATAATAAATGGGTTTCTGGATTAGTCAAGTCCTGTGTATTGACAGCAATAAGATCCTAATACCCCATGGGGCACCTGGGTGGCTCAGTTGGTTGAGCGTCCAATTCTTGGTTTCAGCTCAGGTCATGGTCTCATTGTTCATGGGAACATGAACTTGGGCTCCGTGCTGCTTGAGATTCTCCCTCTCTCTCTCTCTCTCTCACTATTGAGATTTTAAAAAGGTCACAACACTCCAGGAATCATGTAGTACGTATTTTTGTGTCTGCCTTCCTTCATTCAACATCATATATTTTGACATTCAACTCCCGTTGTTGCATGGTGGGAATAATCTTCGAATAGTAGTTTCTTTTTAATGATGATACTACCACGTGCTTATACCACAATGTACCCGTTCAATTGTTGCAGGACATCTGGATTGTTCTCCGTTTTTGATTATTATGAATAAAGATGCACTGGATTCTTGTACAGCTCTTGTAGCCAGATGGTTTTATCTCTCTCGGATGAACACCTAGCGATGGAATTGCTGGATCACATGGTAGATGCAAGTTTCAAGTTTTCAACGAAGCTGCCGAATAGATTTCCTAAGTGGCTGCACCATGTTATACTCACATGGCAGTTGGAGAGTTCCAGTTGCTCCCCATCCTCACCACCTTACATGTACTTTTCACTTCCACCCTCTAGTGCACGGGTAGTGTTACCTGCTGGTGGCTGGTGCGTTTCCCTCTGACAAATGATAGAGGATAAGCACTTTCTTTTGTGCTCGTTGGCTATTTACATATTTGCTTTTGTGAAGTGTGTGTTCACATCTTTTGCCTATTTTTTATTTATTTTTTCTTTTTTTGGCTGTATGGTTTGTCTTTTTACTCCTGAGTGGCAGGGTTTCTTTATTCCAGATACATGTCTTCTGTCAGATATATCTGCTATGAATATTCCCTCTCAGTCTGTGGCTTGATAGTGTTTTTTGATAAACAGACGTTTTAAGTTTACATGAGGTCCATTTATCAATTGTTTTTAGGGTCTCTCCTTTTTTTAAAAAAAATTTTAATGTGTTTTGTTTATTTCTGAGAGAGAGAGAGAGAGAGAGACAGCGTGAGCAGGGGAGGGTCAGAGAGAGAGGAAGATACAGAATCCGAAGCAGGCTCCAGGCTCTGAGCTAGCTGTCAGCACAGAGCCCGACACGGGGCTCAAACCCATGAACCGTGAGATCATGACCTGAGCCAAAGTTGGACACTCAACCGACTGAGCCACCCAGGTGCCCCTAGGGTCTCTCCTTTTTATGTCCTTTCTAAGAAATCTATCTACCAAAAGATTGAAAAGATAGTCTCCGATGTTTTCTTCCAGAAGACTTATCAATTAAGTTTATACTTAGGACTATGGTCTGTCTTAAATTCAACTTTGTGAAGTAGGGATTGGAGTACCCCTCCCCCACCCACGAATATCCAGTTGTAACAGCCTCATTTGTTGGTGGGCTCAACAAAAATCATTTGACTCTATATCAGATGGCTCTTGATATTCTCTCCAACACTAAGCTCTCCGGTAAAAAGGTGTCTGGGCAGTCTTTCTGTACTCAAAGTGAATACCCAGGACAAGGAGCATCACATCACCTAGGAGCTTGTTAGAAATGCAGAAGCCAGCCTCATTCCAGTCCCATACAGCCTCCAGATAATTCACAGGCACATTACATTTTGAGAAAGAAGCACTGATGTAGATAATTTTTGATGAAGATGGGGAAATGTCATCATGACACACTCCGCGGCTGACAGCCTCCCCATGCACTCCAGCAGGCTGCCGGGTCCTGGGAACTCATTTCCTCCTCTTAGATGCTAGGCTTACTCTCAGAAGCAATCTCAGGGTCCACCACTCCTGACAAGTGCTGCGGCGCGTTCTCTGCTGCTGGGAGACAGGGGAGGGAACTCCCTCTAATACCCACAGCCACCTGCTCACTCAGCCAGCAGCTTCTGCCCTCTCCTCCATACACCCCCTGTCACCCTTGAACCTCGGTTTCTTCAATTACAGAGCCCAGATAATAATGGTGTCTATCTCAGGGGCTAATGTGATGCAAAGTGATCTAAGGAGTACCTGGGCACAGAGACAGCACAATAAAAGTCAGTGATCTTCACGGCCATCACAGGGTCTGTCGCCCAGGGGAAGTCCCAGCATACAAGCTGCCTCCGCGCCCCCCGCCCCGCAGCCCCACCCCCTACACCGGGGCTGAATTGAGCCTTGCAGTCTTCCCAGCTCGACTTCTCCTCCCTCTCTCTTCTCCGCGCCCCCAGGGCACGGTGCACCGATAAATCTTTCCCAGCACGCTGCATTGTTTCAGCCACTTGCCCTCGCGTCTGACTGGTCCCCGGTCCGGCCTGGGAGTTCCTTAAATACAGGTTGTCTGTCTCGGGCGTCTTTGAACCCCCAACCCCCGCCTCCCGCCCCAGCACAGTGCCTGGTACTTGGAGAGCACTCCATTAATGTTTGCGATATTGAATAATATGTGAAGCCAGCGTCCAGCCCTCAACTCGCGGGGGTGGGGGATGTGCAGGCGGCGGGGGCAGAAGGGAAAGCTGGCCGCGTGCCGGGTGGAAGGACACAGGCGCGGGCCCTTTGGGGGTCGGTGGGTGGACACCAGAGAGGGGGTACACGAGGCCCGAGAGCGGAGCCTGGGTCCACAGAGGACTGGCGAGGCCGGTCGCCCCGGCTCCCCGCGCTCCTCCCCCCGCCTCCTCCCGCGCCCCGCCCGCTCCGGCTCCGCCACCCCCGCCCCGCGCGGCCGCGGCAGGGAGGGGCCGGGGAGGCGGAGCCAGCGGCTGCCGAGGCTCCGGGCACCCGCGCGGCTCCCGGTGGCGGAGCGGAGATCCCGGCGCGCCCAGGTAGGAACCCCCGCGGGGAACGGACCCGGGAGCGGCGCTGCGGAAGGAGGGGCGCGGCGGGGGCGGGGAGGCTGGGCCGAGCCCCGCCCCTCGTGCGCGCGGCTACCTCGCGGTCCCCCCCCCCCGCCTGGGGGAGGGGGCGCCGCGTCCCCGCCCCACGGCTCCCGGTCCCCTCCCCGCGCTCAACACTTCCCCCCCACCTCCGGGCCGTGCGCCGCGCTCCTTTCCCGCCGCTCCGCATTCTCCAGACCGCCTCCGGGCGGCCCTTGGGATCGCCTCCCCTTCAGCCAGCCGCGCTCCTTGTTCGTCCCACAGGTTCCTTTCGGAAGCGAGCCGGAGTCTGTGGCTGGCCGCCTCGGGGAGTGGGGGGCGCAGCTAGAAGGACCCAGAGGGTGAGTCCGGAGGTGGGGGGCGCGGTGGCTGGAGAGCCCCGTACCATTCTTTTGCATCTTGGTGTCACCGGGTGCTCCGCGCACTGGGGCTGGCTCCATGTTGGCGGAATGAATGAATCATTACTCTCCTTGTCCCCTTCCGAAGGAGGACTTTTTGAGGTCCACGTGCTGCAGAGCACGGTGTGTGTGTTTGGGGGGGTGCTCCTGAGCTAGGGCTCCCTAGTCCTGCGTAGTAGAAACCCGACTCCCGTTTCTCCAGCTCCTCTCTAACACTCCATTCCAGGGGAGGCTCCCTTCCTTTTGGGACTTGGGGGTGGTGGGGAAGGAGGGAGCTTGTAGGCCCAGCCAGGTACTTGTTGAAGGTGTGACAAGGGACTTGGAGGTGAATGAGGGACTTGTGAAGGCCAAGGGACCTGAACAGGACCTCTTAGAAGGTGACGGGGCACAGAAGATGCCGCAGAGGAGAGCACCCGCAGACAGAGGCCACTTGGTACCTTAGACCAGTCTGGAAGGGTCACCGGAGCATGGATCCTGACCCGCAAGCTACTGAACTCCTCCGCGCCTGTTCCTTTATCCCGCTTTATCAGACTACAATGGGGATATTCGTATCCATTCCTCAGAGCTGTGCAGATTAAGAAAAATGTCGTAGGAAGCCACCCAGCATACTGCTTGGCACATTGGGGGTACTAGCAATCTCAAGTCTTCTTCCTTTGCTCTCTGAAAAAGTGAGCAGAGAAGTTATTTGTCCCATTCCCTCTGTCCCTGAATGGAGCGACACAGCAGATGTGTACTCACTGTTTGTTGAGGGAATATGCCCAGTGGAGCTACAGCACTCACCCTCCCTCTCCCAGAAGCCACAGGCCGCGCTCGGGAGCTGACCAGCACAGACATGCCAGTGCTGTCTGAGGACTCTGGTGAGTGGCACCCCTGGCTGGACAGCCATCGCGCTGAGGACAAGAGCCTGCCCAGCAGCCCCAGGCTGGACAGAAAGCATGTTGACCCAACGCTGGGTCACGGGAGCTGCCTTACCTGCGAACCTTGGGAACGAGAGCCTGGGGAGGGAATGTCCATGTGCCAGGGTCCACGTGGGGCCCCCTGGGGCCAGGCGGTACCCATTGCATTGGCCCCACTTTGTGTTTCTTACACTGTCCCCAGGTTTGCATGAAACCCTGGCGCTGTTGACGTCTCAGCTCAGACCTGACTCCAACCACAAGGAAGAGATGGGCTTCTTGAGGGACGTTTTCAGTGAAAAAAGCCTCAGTTACTTAATGAAGGTAAAGCCTCATTTCATCCCATCTGGTAAGGGGTTCTAGAGGGTTTTTCTAGTGAGGGGTCATGAACTTCATCTTAACCTTTCCCCTCCCCCAGAAAGGTCTTCATCAGCCCACTGTGAATGGCTTTTTCTTATGCTGCCCCACTGGCGAGCCCCTCTGCAGCCCCGTGCATCCCCACAGTCATGGGCAGGCTGTGTGGTATCCGGGGCACCCCTGGGCAGCTGACTTGGGAGGCCCCCGCCTGAAATCGGCTGTCTTTGCAGATTCACGAGAAGCTTCGCTATTACGAGAGGCAGAGTCCCACCCCAGTTCTGCACAGCGCCGTGGCCCTTGCTGAGGATGTAAGCCCCGGGTTTTTCGTTACAGTGTTTGCCCTGCTCCCTACCCCATAGGGCTCCTTCGTGGTGCCTGTCACCATTGCTTAGCCTAGGGGACAGAGGGGCTCAGAGCCCAGAGGTAAAGAGGCATCGTCGTCTCTTTTCCTCTTGCTCCTCCTTGGGCCTCCCAACAGGCAGGAAAGAACCTGTGAGCCTTGCACGAGGCCAAGGGACACGGGGACGCGATGACGCCCACTTACTGTGTGTTCCGGGGAAGTATGTTCCCCCCAGCCGTGAAATGAGAGCATTTGGATCAGATCAGCAGTTCCTACACAGTTGAGGACTGGCGATGTGAAGGTCAAGCAATCGCCTTGTCTGTGCTTTGGGGAGGCGTGAAGCCCTAGGGTCAAAAGACTTGCTGTGCGTCCCTGCTTACTGGTTCGAGGTTCTTGTTTTTTACTTACTTATTTCTTTTTTAAGTTTATTTATTTATTTTGAGAGAGAGAGAAAGAGAGAAAGCAGGCAGGGGAGGGACAGAGAGAGGGAGAGAGAGGATCCCAAGCAGGCTCTGTGCTACCAGTGGGGCTCAAACCCACGAACTGAGATATCATGACCTAAGCAGAAACCAAGAGTCAGACAGTAAACTGACTGAGCCACCCAGGCACCCCAGGGGTCTTTTTTCTTGCATGAATGCGGCTAGGGGCGCCTAGGTGGCTTAGTCGGTTAAGCGGCTGACTTCGGATCAGGTTATGATCTTGCAGTTTGGGAGTTCGAGCCCTGCATTGGGCTCTGTGCTGACAGCTCGGAGCCTGGAGCCTGCTCCAGATTCTGTGTCTCCTTCTCTCTCTACCCCTCCCCTAAAAAAGGAATGCTTCCTCATTTCTTTTAGACCTGTCTTCTGTGTTGCATGGCTTGGCAAAAGCTGTCCCAGTTGATTGCCAAGGCCAGCTCCTGAATAAACTCCCCTGACCCCAGGAGACGGCCTGGCGAGGCCCTGGGTGCGGCCAGTGGGTGCCGACCTCCCCCTCCCTCCTCTACTGTGACTCGAAGCGTGTTAGGTTGTCGGCACTGCCTCTCCTACTAGCTCTGTGACCCTAAACAAGTCAGTCAACCCCTCTGAGCCTCAGTGTCTTCATCTATAAAGTAGCATAGTGGTGAGGACACCGATAACGGAGCCAGCTAAGCCCAGGTTCAAACCCTGGCTTTTTGACCTTGTGCAAGATATTTAATCTCTCTTGTTTAATTCTTGTCTGTCCAGTGGCCAAACAGTAGCACCTGTTATGTTTAGTTCACTGTGCAGGTTAGATGGGAAGGTATACATGAAGCAAAAGAGCTCATAGGAAGGGCTTGATAGTGAGCTCCTGTTAGGAGTACCTTGGAGAGCTCCTGAAGTAGTCAGGATTCTGATCCCTGCTGTGATTTCCCTGCGAGCTACGGGGGTGGCCAAGGGGTCAATGAACCCCTGGGTGATGTTGCAGTTCCTACAAGGCCCCTTGGGTCTGCAGCTCAGGGAGCAGGGTTTTCCCGGGGCGACTTCCGGCAGGTGAGTTCTGTCTGGTTCCTTTACAGGTGATGGAGGAGCTGCAGGCCACCTCCGTGCACAGCGACGAGAGGGAGCTGCTGCAGCTGCTGTCCAGCCCCCACCTCAGGGTAGTCACACCACAGTCCCTGCCCAGCCACACAGCTTGTATCTCCCCGGATGGGGGGCAAGAGGGAACACCTGGCCAGGAAGCTGAGGAAGGAGAATTCTGAGCAAAGGGTCCTCAGTGCTGATGTCTGGGGTGGGGGGTGGTTTCTCGGGCCTGAGACCAGAGGCCTGCAAATCACTGCCCAGTCAGGGGCCCCCCTGAACCCCTGGAGCTTCTGGGTCTAGCCCCTCATTTCTCCTGCTTTCCTTACAGGCTATGCTCATGGTTCACGATACAGTTGCCCAAAAGAATTTCGACCCCGTTCTTCCCCCTCTGCCCGAAAATATTGATGAGGATTTTGATGAAGAATCCGTGAAGATTGTCCGCCTGGTGAAGAACAAGGAGCCCCTGGTATGTGACACCCTCCTCTCCTCCCTCTGCCTCCCCCTGTACCCGTCCCTCACCCACCCAGAAAACCAGGAAGAGACACCCCCCCACCCCAAAGTCTTTGGAGTGAGTGATGGTAGCTTCATCAGGGTTGCCACGCGGCACCAGTGTGTACAGGGTGCCTCTTTCTGTGGGTGTATTCAGCCCCATTCAGCTGTGGCCAAGCTCCTTTGTGTAGTCAATAACCTTTGCAGCTGTACAGGGCCACCCTGATCATCCTGCTCTGATCCAGAGGTTGGCAAACTATGGTCCGAGGGCCAAACCCAGCTCACTGCCAGTTTTTGTAAATAAAGTTTCACTGGCACCTGGCCATGCCCTTTCACTTACGTATTGTCTGTGGCCGCTTCTACCTTGCGACAGCAGTGGTGAGTAGTTACCAAGGAGACGGCGTGGCCTGCAAAGCCTGAGATATTTACATTTGGCCCCTTTACAGAAAAAGTTTGCCAAACCCTGCTCTGAATACTGAGGAAGTTCGGGGCAGCGGCCATTCTTCTCCCCAGCTGACACATTGTTATTCTGGCCCTAGTGCAGCGCCCATTTACCGAGCAAAGGGACAGGGTTGTTTATTAGATGGAGGGAAGTGGAGGAAGGCCAGAGAATTGAGTGCATGCCCCGGAGAATACCGCAGCTGGCATTCCTTATTTGCAACTCTCACCGAGGGCCCCCAGCTAAACCGCTTCTGCAAGCAGAAGAGGAGCTCTCTTCTCCCTCTGTTCCCCGCCTGCCAAATGGAGCAGGCATCCACTGAGGCACCAACACATCGTGTGCCGGGCACCATGTTGGGCACCAGCAGTTCAGCTGTGATTAAGGCTTAGTCCCTGCCCTCTAGGAGGCCACGGGAGAGTGAGGGGGGGGGTTCCCATTGTGGAGGTGATACCCCGGTTGGGTTCCAAGAAAAGGAACAAGTTTCCCAGAAGGAAAGGGGAGAGGAAGGGCACTCCACACATTAGAACTACCTGAGCAAAATCATGGTAAGGGGATGGGGGAGGGGGGAGAATGTTCAGGAAAGGGGCAGACATACACACACACACACACACACACACACACACACACACACACACGCACACACACAGAATCTGAAGCAGGCTCCAAGCGCTGAGCTGCCAGCACAGAGCCTGATGCGGGGCTCGAACCCATGAACCGTGAGATCACAACCTGAGCTGAAGTTGGACGCTTAACTGACTGAGCCTGAACCACTGGAGAGCCGGCAGGCCCAGAGATGACAGCTGCACTGTGGGTCAGGGGTGTCTTTCTTTTTCTGTTTGGATAGGTTATGGGTCAGAGTTAGGGTGCTTCCTGACTCAGGCTGCAGCCAGTCATCCTTGTAAGGAGATGGGGGAGGGGGGAGAGCGAGCAGTGGGCAGGGGGAGTTTTTAGCCCCATATGGTCCTTGTCTGACCTGTCAGGGCAGCAATGAGGGAGAGCAGGGGCAAGGGGTTAAAACGACAATGTGAATGTATTATAATGAAGCTATAGGTTACTGCAGGGCAGTGATCAGAGGGAGGAACTCGTCGTTTCCCCTGGGGTCTGTCCTGGCTGTTAGGAACTTGGCCTCCGCCATCTTATCAGCCAGAAAGCACTTGCTCCCTGCTTATATCTAGCTAATTGCCTGCTCTGTCATATTCGGGGAGCTCTGGACTGCCCAGTGTGGATGTAGAATCGCTAAGTCGTGGGTAGGAGAGACAGAGGTGGGGCCGGATCAGAGGGAGATGCTGATTGTCCGCGCAGAGTGTCCTAGCTTGACCCTGAGGGCAGCGGGGAGCTATTGTAAGGTTTTAGGTTAAGACGTAACATGGTCAGATGTGCAGTTTAGAGAGATCACCCAGCTTCCAAATAGAAAGTGGCCTGGAAGCTGAGGCCAGAAGCAGAGGACCGATTTGAAGGTGGGGACCAGATAGGTGGAAGTTCAGAAAGAGGGCTTGACTTTGGCCTGTGGGAATAGGGAAGGGAAATCCAAGATATATTTCAGAACAAAATTAATGTCACTTTGTGACTGCCCTGGTTTGAGCAGGAGTCTCGGTGGAGGGGGGGATCCCTGGGATAGTGCCCAGGTGTCCCGCTGGGACGGCTGGGTGGGCACTGGGGCCGTCATTTAAGGGAGGGAGTAGGGAAGAGCTTAGGTCCCATTGAATTCAAAAGTGGAGGCATCCAGGAAGCGGAAGGATTATTTGTTCAGAGATAACAGACTGGGCAGCCGCCAGCATCCGGGACCAACTCTTGGTTTTGGCTTAGGTCACGATCTCACTGTTCGTGAGTTCAAGCCCTGTGTTGGGCTCTGCTCTTACAGCACACAGCCTGCTTGGGATTCTTTCTCCCTCTCTCCCTCTCTCCCTCTCTCTCTCAAAATAAATAAATAAACATTTAAAAATTAAAATAAAAGAACTTTGCTCCAAAGGAACAGAAACCGGTAGCTGCCGGATGGGAGGTGGGGGGCAGGCTTTTTATTGATGAGGGGAATGTGATATTTTTGGAGCCAGGAGAAGGAGCCAGCAGAGATGGGGCATTGAGACTATGGCAGAGGAAGGGAGGGGACAGAAGGACCAGCCCAGAAGGGAGGTTTCCCTCCTCTGAGAGGGGAAAAGGAGGAAAGGATGGACAGAGATGCTGGAAAGTTTGAAGGTCTAGGAAGCAAGAAGCCACGGGGTTCTTGGCTGATTGTTTCCAGCAATATTTGTCCTATGGACTTCAAATAGGTGGCGTGAATGAAGTTAATGATAAGTGCACCACCTGTTTGCCCGAACAGCCAATAATAAAAGGTTAACATTTATTGAGTGTTTAGTGTATGCTAAGTGGCTTGCCTGCATTAGCTGATACCACCCCTTGTCCTAACGCCCGGAGTTAAATGCCATCCCACACCCTAGAGGAAACAGACTCAGAGAAGATAATGGGCTTCCTTGCCAGGCTGCATGCTTTCAGTGAGTGGCAGAGGAGTCACACCCTGGGGCATCTAACTCCAGGACCTCACCTGACACTGCCCTGCCCGCTAGTCCTGTCTGCCGGTGCATGGAACTGAGGGCTTGTGAGTACCTCTCACCCTACATGTCATCCCCGCTGTGCTCCACGGGCCAACTCTTGGTCCCCAGGCTCTGGCTGGTGCATAATTGGTTCCCCTCGGCAGCCGTAGAAGGCTCAGTACCCTGTGATTGGTCAGAGGTTGAGAATTTGCAGGCACGAACTCTCACGATTAAATGCCTTTGCGAAGAGGCACAGGCTGTGATAGGAGACAGATGCATGGGATTCGGCATCACTGAATCCTTTACTCCTTCCCAGCCGGGTGACCTCGGGGATGCTGACCTTCTCTGAGCCCCAGTCCCTCGTCGCGGAGATGAGATTGTCACAGTGTTCTTGTGCTTCCCATAAGGCGTAAATCACTGTGCTGTATTAATGTGAGATGCCTGTTTTATGGCGTCCTCAGCACTGCAAAGAGCCCCATTGATCTACCCTCTGGTCTGACAGAGGGAGAGACGGGGAGGCTCTGTTGAGTCCAGGGAACTGGGGCCCGAGGCTTGGGGCTGCCTCTTAGGATCTTGCCCGCTCTGTCTCGTGCAGGGCGCCACCATCCGGCGGGATGAGCACTCAGGGGCCGTTGTGGTGGCCCGGATCATGCGAGGGGGCGCAGCGGACCGGAGCGGTGAGTGGCATCAGTGCTGGCCTGGCCGAGGTGACGGCCGGTGTGCCCAGCCTTCTCCCTTTGGCTCACAATCTCCTTTCCTCCTCTCTGGCCCCTGTTTGGGATGCTTTGCTTTCTGGGAGTGTGGCTGGATTTCTCTCCTTCCCAAACCTGGTAGAAATTTTAATGGTTTGAAAATACCTCGGGCATGGAGAACGTCAGGGCCGGTCAGGGGAGGGCTCTTGTGCCGTGGCCTAGCCGAGGGCTATGGTAGTTCAGCCCACAGCACGGGCTTGACAGGTGACTTCTAACTGAGGAGCAGGGACGCCTTTCCCCACCACCCCGGTTGTCACTATCACGGAGGGAAGGTTGTTCACGCCCCAGATTTGTTTGGGTGGAAAACAGGTTGAGAATCGCTGTTGTGTGAAAGAACTACTCAACGGGAGGCAAACCTTCTGGTGTAGAGAGGTGTTACCCCAGAAGTCTGGGGACCACTGTGGTGAAGGCCAGCGATTCTCAAACATTAACAAGCACAGAAGGCCCCCAAGCGTCTTGTTAAAATGCAATTCTGATTCAGCAGGTCTAGGGTGGGCCCAAGATCCCGCACTCCTAACTGCCTTCCGGCTGCTGCCACCGCTTGCGGAGCATCACTTTGATTAGCAAATAGAGCCCAATGTGTGGAGACTCTTGTCATTAAAGCAGAGGCCAGTGGACAGGTGTATTTAACATTCTTTTTTTTTTTTTTAATTTATTTTTGAGAGAGAGAGGCAGACTGCAAGCAGGGGGAGGGGCACAGAGAAAGGAAGACACAGACTCCGAAGCAGGCTCCAGGTTCTGAGCTGTGAGCACAGAGCCCAACGCGGGGCTTGAACCCACGAACTGAGATCATGACCTGAGCTGGTCAGTTGCTTCACCAACGGAGCCACCCAGGTGCCCCCAACACTCTTGACAACATCTTTCCTGGTGCCCTTCAGTGTTCTTGTTAAGATTCAAGAAGAACAGAGGCACCTGGGTGGCTCAGTCAGTTAAGCATCCAACTTCGGCTGAGGGCATGATCTCTCGGTTTGTGAGTTCAAGCCCTGTGTCAGGCTCTGTGCTCACAGCTCAGAGCCTCGAGCCTCTTTTGGATTCTGTGTCTCCCCCTCTCTCTGCCCCTCCCATGCTCATGTTCTGTCTCTCTCTGTCTCTCAATAATAAGTAAAAATGTTAAAAAAAAAAAAAAGATCGGAGAAGGACATTCTTAGAGTATGTCTGTTAACCCAGGAAGGTGAAGAGTTAACGATGTGTTTTTTTTTTTTAAATTTTTTTTTTTTAACGTTTTATTTATTTCTAGGAGAGAGAGAGAGAGAGACAGCGTGAGCAGGGGAGGGTCAGAGAGAGAGGGAGGCACAGACTGAAACAGGCTCCAGGCTCTGAGCTGGCAGTCAGCACAGAGCCCGACGCGGGGCTCGAACCCACGATCCGCGAGATCATGACCTAAGCGAAAGTTGGACGCTTAACCGACTAAGCCACCCAGGCGCCCCAAGAGTTAACGATGTTTTTAAAGAAGCAAAGGTCATAAGTAAAAGAACACAGGCCTTCTATGTCAAAATAAATGCATTTGAACACGGGCTTTATTCCTTTATTTCTTGGCAGAGTGGCCTTGGGCAAGCTGTGTACTTTTTCTGGGTCTCAGCTGCCTCCTTGAAGGGATTTCCCTGCGGGTTGTTGAGGCTGCGGTGCCGAGCGAGGCACTCCGCGCGCAGTAGGGCTCGGCCAGTCCCGCAGCCTTTACACCTCGTGTCTGCCATGCGTGCGGCGGGTTCCTCAGGCAGGTGCCAGTGGTGCCCCTTCCCGTGCTGATGGGCAGCCCTTGTGTCTCTTAGGTCTGGTCCACGTTGGAGATGAGCTCCGAGAAGTGAATGGGATCACAGTCCTACATAAGCGCCCGGACGAGATCAGCCAGATTCTGGTCCGTGCTGCATGCATGCTGGGGGAGGTGGGGGGGGGGGAGTAGGTAGGGGTGGTGGCAGGTGATGGGGTGGGGGGTGGGGAGATCTTCGGAGACCAAAGCAAGTCACTTTCGGGAGCCAGGCCAGATTCCGGTGCAGTCTTTCTGTTTCCATGTGGAGGCTGCGGGGACAGTGGCCTTGCGGCGTGCCCGAGGTCGGGGGTGAGGGGGCCAGGGAGAATGACACTTTCAGGCCTCCTGCCTCCCAGACCTTCTCTTCAGCACAGCCCTCCCCCGGCCCCAGTCCCTTTCCCGAGACCCTCCTGGGAGGTCCCCTCCCAAGGGCCCCCTCTTCTGAAGGGCTGAGGAATTTGGAATAAGAAGCAGCCTGGGGAGGACCAAGAGCAAGGGCTTTGGGGTCTGCTGGGCCTGGGTTGGAATCCTGCCCGCACGACTTTCTAGCTGTGCAGCCTCGGGCAAATCATTCATTCACTCTGCGCTTCACTTTCCTGTAACGTCAGAACAGGGATTGTTTCTTAATCCAGTGTGTGCTTATGATTAGGGTGTAAACATCTAGGAGAGGATACAGTGCTTTACGTCTGTAAGGGGCGTCTAGGGTGGTCAGTGCCGGGACGCGAGCCACCTCCAGACCCATTCTGGAAATTCAAGTCAAGCTGCGGTTGTAAAAAACCCCAATCTCAGTTTTTGTCTTCTTTATCTTAAGGCATTCTCCCCAGACGTGACACTCTTTGCTAACTTCTGAGGGTTCAGGAAGGGGCAGATATGGGAAGATCTGAAGAGGGGAGGCCCCACTGTAAGGAGCGGGCAGGCTTCTTTGGTGTTCCTGCTGCCACTGCCCTTTGCCCGGTTCTGGGCACTGGCCTCCCTGTGTTCTAGGGCAGTGCTGGGCCCAGGAGACTGTGGGTGAGACGTGCTCTCATGGGGTGCCAGCATTTTGCCTCGTGGGCCCCAACGTGGGGGTGCAGGGTCCGTGTTGGGTAGAGGAAAGGGGAACCCCTGGAAAGGCAGGAGGAGCAGCCTGAGGTTGGAGAACTCTCTGGGGAAGATGTAAACAAAGGGAGGGAAAGGAAACTGCACTTGGTTATTAAAATAACCTGAGAGAAGAAAAGAAGGATGGTGGCCCTTTGGGGCACGAGAGGTCAGGAGCGATGGGAAAGTGGAATGCATTGCCTGCGCTGTCCTTGGTGCTCATCTGTCCCTTTGTGCCCTGAAAATGCAGATGGTAATTGGTTTTGAGTTTTGTTTTAGTTAATTCAGCTGGGTGCCACCATGGGAGGGTGGGCCACAGGGGTGATGGCGAGTCTGACGTCCGTCTGAATGTGAGTTTCCAGATCCGGACAGTTAAGACCGGAACTCATGAAGGTTTGGACATGGGAGGTGATAAGCTTTGCGCTTACCCCTTTCAGGCACAGTCCCAGGGATCCATCACCCTGAAAATCATCCCAGCCACCCAGGAGGAGGGCCGGTTGAAGGACAGCAAGGTATGGCGGGGTTGGAAGTGGGCTCTGAAGCAGTCATTCGGGAAGAGATCACGCGTCTGGTCCTTGGACTGCGCGCTCCGTGGAGAACTTAATTCAGTCCTAGTGTGATTCATGTATTTGTACCTGTCTCTTTCTAAACAGGATTTGACGTAGCTTACTAATAAAAGACAAGGTTATTTTAATTGAAATAGAAAATCAGGGCCACGGAGAGGAGAAGGCACCAAATGTACTGGGTTCGGGACCAATTAAGTAACTGCCATTTGTTTCATTCTTTAGTGAGCCACCCTTTTTTGGGCACCTCCTCTGTGCTGGGCGCTCTGCCAGATGCTGGGACAGGGACAGTCAGGAGCTCTGAGGATTCCTAGTCCAGAAGCAGGGTGGGGGTGGGGAGCAAACCTTTCACTGCTAGGTGATGAGTGAAGGATCCGAGCAGAGGTGTGGGTGCCCTGGAAGGTGTTGTGTAGTAGGGGTGTTGGAAGTGAGGCCGGAGGAAGAAGACGGGGAGAACTTCCCCGGTGAAGACGAGATGGGAAACTCGGGGGTCCCCTGTAGGCACGTGCCCTCTGTCTTCCCACCCAAGAGCCAGGGGAGCTGAGAGATCTATACACCAGCTCCCGCCAGGCTGCCCGCCCCCCTCCCCCCCTCCAAATTAGTTCCCAGCAATCCTCGCTGGCTGCAGTAGACAGTGGCCAGAGAAAGCCCTTGGGCAATGAGACGCCAGCACCGGCTGCTGGGAGTCTGTCTGGAGCGCCCTGGGATGGTGAGGTCCCCGGGTGAGGCGGGAGCTCCTGGACAGCCCCGTAGGGGGAGGCCGCAGTGGGTCGAGACCAGAGGCCGGGAGACCTGGTGGGAGGCTGTTGTAAAAGCCGAGGTGAGAGATCGTTACGACCTGAGCTGAGGTGGTGGCAGAGAGCGAAAGGGCATTCCTCGGATTTCAGATAGACTTGGATCTGGTCTTCCTGGCAGCCAAGGCAGAAAGGAGATGAAATGCCCGACATGCTTTTCATCAGTAGATGGAAGGAAGGATGCCAAGTTTTCAGGAAAGGTGATTCCCAGCTCCTGCTTCCCAGCACTAAATGTGTGAAAGAAGAGACGTTACAGCACTTGGCTTCGAGTAGATGTCAGTAAATATTTTGGTGAATGTGGATCAGTAATGGACAGCGTCTTTGATATCAGTGTTTTGAAGACAAAATTTTTATGCGCCTGTTTCTTACTTGCGCACTTGGATTAAGTCCCAGGGCTGACCTAATGTAGGCTCTTATCTGATGGAAGGTGGTTCTTTCTTGGATATGCAGATGTGATCTCCATAAGTAGCTTTTGCAGGTTCTCACTTGATACGGGGAGAAAACTTGCTTTTCCTGGAGGATGAAATGAATAGCGTGTCCCTTAGCCCGTCCTTCCTAAATATTTCTTCTTGATCCGGAAGCTTGGTCTGGGCTGGCCACTTAAGAATATACTCTCTTCTGAGTACCTGGGACCCTGGTAACATCTGTGGCTGGTTGGGGGTGTCTGTCCTTGCAATACCTGCCCAGAAAGTTCTTACTGTTGTCTAACTGAATCTTTTCTGATTGGCACATACATAAAGGACTATGACTTGGATCTGTTTGAGGAAGCCCCCTGGCATTTTGTTTGTTTGTTTGTTCCTGTTTGCTTTTAATGTAATTGAACCTTAATGGTCTGGAAATAGAACAAATAAAGTAAATCTACCCACTAAGTTATAGAACAAGGAAATGTGACAAGATGCTGTATTTTCCCATCATCTTCTCTAGGGGGTGACTTTAGGGTAAAGGGGAGAGTTGGGGGTTGGCCAGACATGTGACAGAGGAGGCAGGGCTGAGCTGTAAAAAGTGTGGATGTCAATTACCCACTGGAAGGGGATGGTGAGGAGTCAGTATTCGGGCTCTAACCAAAACATCTAGATTACGTATTTAATGGATGGCTGCTAACTTCATTAGGGGCAGTTAGCATATCAAAACTAACATTTTAGTTATAATTGTGTCTGCCTTTAGTTTTTGTTCCTGGGACAGAATCGTTGCTATGTGTATGCTAAGAGGCTGCTACTAAGGACAGCAGATCAGGTAAATAAGGAAATATTTAGTTTGGAAAGACAAATTCAGACCTTGATGGATTTCCTGATTCAAATATTCAAAATGGCTGAAAAGCGATAGGACAATATCTGCAGTTTCTGAGTAGCTTTCTGCTCTCGACGCTACTTGTTTGTCCTGACTGTGTATGACAGTTGTCCTTCGGCTTCCCATGTGGCATAGAGCTGTCTGTGCTCACGCCCTCTTCAGGTGTTCATGCGGGCTCTCTTCCACTATAACCCCCGGGAAGACCGGGCCATCCCCTGCCAGGAGGCGGGCCTGCCTTTCCAGCGCAGGCAGGTCCTGGAGGTGGTGAGCCAGGACGATCCGACGTGGTGGCAGGCCAAGCGAGTAGGGGACACCAACCTCCGGGCTGGCCTCATCCCCTCCAAGCAGTTCCAGGAAAGGTGGGTCTGCGGCGTGTTGTACGGGGGCGGCTCTGGAGTGGCAGGGGGCACAGGCACCCAAACCTCTGCCAGCGCAGCTAGAGGGACGCACTGTGTCGCTCCCGACGTCAGGACCAGTTGCCCTTGTGATCGGTCTTCTGGGCTGTAACCAGCGGTGATGGCTGTTGGAGATTTAAATAAACGTATGGAAGTCTATGTTCTTCAGTCAGTGTATATTTGATAACACATACCTAAAGAAAGTTGAAAAGTAAAACATATAAATACAGAAGATGGGGACCAGGGAAAGAAAATTGCCCAGAGTCTCGCCCATATGGAGACAATATATCATATATTTCTTTCCTGTGCTTTTTATGCAAGCAATGGATGTAGAGTTGGAAGTGTTACTTTTCTTTTAATGTTCATTCTGAGAGTGAAAGAGAGAGAGAGTGCATGGGAGAGGGGCAGAGAGAGAGGGGGGGAGAGAGAGAGAGGGAGAAAGAGAGAGAGAAAGAGAATCCTAAGCAGGTTTCACGGAGCCAGTGCAGAGCCCGACATGGGGCTCGAGCTCACGAACCTTGAGATCATGACTTGAGCTGAAATCAAGAGTTGGACGCTTAACCGACGGATCCACCCAGGTGCCCCGGAAGTCATGCTCTTTTGTGTGTGTGTCTATAACTTACTATTTTAACGTCCACATTTCCCACATTATTGCCTGTTCTTTACTGTGTGATTTTAATGGCTTCCTAATACTGCATCAGAAAATAGACCGTTCACTCACCGGCAGCAAGTGTCGGTTCTGCCCCGAGGAGCTGACAGTGTAGCAGGCAAGTCACACAGCATTCAGACGAACACTTTATATAATGTGACGGGTGCCGGGGAGGAGGACACGTGCTCTTCAGGTATATCATAGGAGGGTTGCCCCTCATCCAAGTGTGCGGGGAGGCATCTCTGGGGCAGGATCGTACCCAGTTGACTCCACTGCTTCCCCGCGGCTGTACTTTTAAGGTGTCTGCACTGTTCAGTGCTACGAGACTGCAGTAATCTCCGTGCACGTTAGACTCTCCCTCATACTTCAGATTGTTTCCTTAGGTACATTTCCCAAAATGCAAGTCCTGCCTGAGAGGGTGTGGCGGTTACTACCGCATCCCCTCTCCTGAGGTCTGTCGCCCTCTTCCATCTTTTGGGGTGTGGAGTACTCTAGTGACAGACTTTAGGATTCAGCCGTTTCAGAGCCCCTCCACGTGGTCCCCGGCTGGGTGCGTCAGCACCCCCTGGGAACATGTTAGACATGCAGACCCCCGGGCCCTGCCCCAGACCTGCTGCGTCAGTAACTCGAGGGGCAGCCTCTGAGCTCTGTGTCCCAGCAGACATTCCAAGTGATCCTGAGACGCTAAAGTCAGAGAGCCATCACCCTGTTTCCCCAGGGGGACCTCAGACCCGTATGCGTTTTTGGTTTCGCGGGTCTTGGGGGAGAGGTCTTTAGCTGCATTTGATGGGCTCTAGACACCTCGAAGAGCCCTGAGTGTTTTCTCAGGGCAGAGATGAGGTCTTGGTGACTGCCTCTCCACTGTTGGCCACACTGGGTAACGTGCCAGGTTGAGCTCTCTGATTTGGGAGGAGAAGGCTGTTAAATTAGAGTCACTTTTGCCCTTGACCTCTCCTGGGAGTCGTTCTGCTACTTCCCAGCTTCCCCAGAGACGGGGAGGCCAGGGGAGAGTGAAGAAGAGGCCTTCCTTCCTTGGGAATCAGTCATAGGAAAGGAACAACTGATCACTGACCATCTTGGGCTGGATGAACTTCTCCCAGAACAAAAGACTTGGTTTCTTTCTCCTCGTGAACCAGTCAGTGAGCTCCTGTGAAAGTGTCTCTCTTTTTTTTTTTTATTTAAAAAAATTTTAAATGTTTATTTATTTTTGAGAGAGAGAGAAACAGACTGTGAGCAGGGGAGGGGCAGAGAGAGGGGGAGACACAGAACCCGAAGCAGGCTCCAGGCTCTGAGCTGTCAGCACAGAGCCTGACACAGGGCTCGAATCCACAAGCAGTGAGATCATGACCTGAGCTGAAGTCGTACGCTTAACTGACTGACCCACCCAGGCGCCCCAAAAGTGTCTCTCTTTATGGAAACTGACTGTGAAGCAGGGAGGCCCTCGGAGTGCCAGGCTGTACCTACCTGTGCAAGCCAAGCCTTGGTTTCCCTGAGTTTTCTAGAAGGTTCTCTCTGACTGGTTTTGTGGCCCAGCTCATGGGCCTGCCCATCTCCTTGTGTCCCCACAGGCGACTAAGCTACCGGAGAGCCACGGGCACCCTGCCGAGCCCCCAGAGCCTCAGGAAGCCCCCCTGTGAGTAGATGGGCAGGGAAGCACCTCGGGGAGGGGCTGGGGTTGGGGCTCAGGGGCTCGGTGTCCGGAAGAAGCAGCAAGCACTGGACTGGAGGGGGCACGATGGGTTCTGTCTGAGCTCGAGGGCCTCCAGAGGAAGGAGGGGTTGGGGAGAGGGATGAGGAGGGGAAATGGGGTAGGTCAGGGACGAGCTATTCCCTGGAAAGGAGCTACTATATTTGGGGCCCATAGATGATATGGGGGACATGTTAAACACCTCTCTCAAAAATTGTGTGCAAACGCGTTTATGTGAGTTTGTGTGTGACTGTGTGTACTTGTGTGTGTCTGGGAGAGCGTCCACAGCCTTCATTAGATTCCCAAGGGGCTCTCTTACCCTGACAAACTGATGGTGGAGGAGTGGAGAAGGCTGCGAGTGACCCAAATTTGGCAAATAAAGGAAGGCCAGTTAAATTTGAATTTCAGATTAAACACCTCTGAGCTGTCAGCACAGAGCCTGACACGGGGCTCGAACTCACAAACTACGAGATCATGACCTGAGCCAAAGTCAGACGCTCAACTGACTGAGCCACCCAGGGCCCCACAATGAATGAGTTTTTAATATAAGTATAACCCATGCAATATTTGGGATATACTTATACTAAGAAATTATATGTTGTTTATCTGAAGTTCAGGTTTAACTGAGTCCCCTGTATTTTATCTGGCAGGCTTATTCTGTATAGCACCTCCCTTCTGGAAAACACACTCACCTTGCCTTTTAATCATCACAGTGTGGAGTAGTGGAGTCAGTACATCCTCTTTTCCAACGTGAGAGAATGGAGTGGGGCTGGGGTCAGGTTTTCAGAGGGCCCCTGGCCAGAGGGTCCAGGTTAAAGCAGTGTATAGAAAGGAAGCTTCTCCATGGTCTGGCCTTTTGGACTCGGGGGGGGTGCTCTGATCCAAGTGAAGGGCCCAAACGGGTGAACTGCGGGGTGCAGCTGGCCCGCAGCCCTGCTCGGTGCCACCCCGTCCTCTGGTACCTTGCACTGGCCCAGGCAAGTCTCAAACCCCCAGAAGAGAGGGAGCAGGTCCGGGCCCACTGCTGCTCCGCTGGCTCTGGGCCACCGCCCACGGCCACTCGTCCAGACTTGCTCTCAAGTCAGAAGGACCGCTGAGTAAATTGGCCTTGCGGCTGCTTGCGCCGGTGATGAGCTGGCTTGCTGGGGGCCACTAATGAGACACACACAGGAAGACTAATTAGAGCTAGTCTCGGTTTAATAACGCACCACAGCTCGGATCACAGGTTTGTCGGAGGCAAGAAAGAGGGGACAGATGGAGGCTCCTTACGCACACAAGGCCACAGTTGCCTCTCAGCCGCGGGGCCTCCCGGTTCCCCTCCACTAACGCTCTTCCATCTGTCTTTTGTGCAAACCGCAGATGATCAGCCTTGTGACAAAGGTAGGCTGGTATCTATCCCTGGTGCGCCCGGATGAGACCCCTTTTTTTGTAGAATGTCTGGAAGGGCTTGTTGTCGCCTCCCTGTGCCCTGAGGTGTGAAGAGCCGCAGGGAACAGAGCTCCTCCCCACCGCCCGCCTAGCACACAGGCCCCCCCCCCCCCCCCCGCCTTCTCTGGACTCCGGCCAGGCTGACAGGCCGGTGGGAGGCAGGAGACAGGAAGGGGTGGACGGGGCCAGTGAATCCCCCCTCCTCGTGCATACTGATCCTAACCCAGAGGGGCTTGCTGACCCCAGGGCCTGGAAAGGCTGTGGGGGACTGAAGCATGGAGAATTGAGTGAAACGAAGAACTTGTTTTCCTGGGGGGCCAGGACATGGCATCACTTCCTGCCCTCGCTCCAGACACCATCCCAGTGGGTTCTGCCTGGCCACCCAGGGGCCAGGAGCCTTCGGGTCAGAGTCTGTGTCCGGTGTAGCTCACTGGCTGCCCTCTCTCTGTTTGGTTCCCAGAGACGTGTGACTGCGAAGGGTACCTCAAAGGGCACTATGTGGGTAAGTGGTAGGGGCGCTGCCCCCTCCCGCACAGCCGGCCGTGGGCTCCCGAACGAGGCAGGGTGATCTAAGCACCAGGAACCTTTGGGGAACAGCTGAGCCTGGGGAACCCACATTCCCCTTCAGTCTCTCGTCAGCCAGAAGACGGCTGGTCTGCCCAGGCTTTCGGGTCCTCCCAGCTTTCACCCAGTGCTGGGAGCAGAGCCCCGGCAGGGAAGGGATTCAGGCCGCCACATTAATAGTGATGTTACCATCACGGTCTCAGCCAAGGTCTAGTCAGCGTGTGTGTGTGCTGCCACCACACGGCAACGGAGCCTTCTTACTAGTGTCTCCAAAGGTCCTTGGCTGCTTTTATTGTCCTTAGTCTTTTCAAAGGCCTTAGAGACCGGCAGAGTTTTTTTCACCTTTCATTTTGAAGTAATTTCAAACTTCCCGAAAAGATGCGAGAATTGTACAGAAAACTCAGATTCACCAGACACCCCTTTGCCTTCTTTGCTTTGTCCTCCCCTTTCTTACATATACACGGGCTTTTCCTGAGTCATGTGACTCCGTTGTAGCCATCCTGTCCCTTCACCCCTAAATGTCTCAGCATGGGTCCCCAAGGACAGGGACATTCTCTATATAATCAGGGTAGTTTATTAAAGTTCTGGGAATTTAGCATATATACAATTCTAGTACCTAATATACTGGTCCTGTTAAAATTTTGCCAGTTGCCCCAGTGATGTCTTTTAGAGCATTTTCCCCAGTCCAGGATCCACCCCAGGACCACACATTGCCTTTGTAGATTTGTATTCCCATTTCACGGGTAAGGAAGTCAAGGCTCAGAGGGGTGACGATTCACCCAAAGTCAGCCACATGCTAAATAGAACAGTGACCTTGAACCCTCAGTTTTGGAGGCCAGGTGGTCACTCTTTCATCACATTACTATGCATTGTGATCAGCCCCTTGCTGGAACAGCAGGTGGTCGGGAGAGGCCGGTGGGACCCAGCCCCCCTTCCAGGTCTGGCCAGGGGGAGACAGTCTTCACGGGGAGATGCTGGGACCAGTGCCATGGTCCCCCCTGCCCTTCCCCCAAAGCCGGTCTTCGGAGAAGCTTCCGCCTGGGCCGAAGGGAGAGACTGGGGAGTCCCCAGGAAGGAAAGGTGCCCGCAGTAGCCGAGTCTCCGGAGCTGCTGACCTATGAGGAGGTAACCAGGTACCAGCACCAGCCTGGTGAGCGGCCGCGCCTGGTGGTCCTGATTGGTAGGTGATGTCCTGCATTTCTGGGGACAAATGCAAGGCTCCCTCTTGGAAGGGTGGGGAGGGAGCTCAGTAGGGACCCTGGTCAGCCTTCCCGTTGTTTCCCAGGGTCTCTGGGAGCCGGACTGCACGAGCTGAAGCAGAAGGTGGTGGCAGAGAACCCACAGCACTTTGGTGTTGCTGTTCCACGTAAGAGGGCCCACGTGGTGGGGGGGAAGGGGAGGGGCGCACATGTGCATGAATATTTCATGGGGGCTTGACTCCCCATGTCTGTCCTAAGCCTTACTTTGGGTCTGAGCGGCTGATGGACATTGCCTGCTATATGCAGATCATGGGACCTAAGCATGATAAGAAACGCACTCTCAGTGGTCCACTAGGACCCTTTGAGTCAGAAGTCGGACGACCACTTGCCCAGTTCCTTCCCATGGTGGGAGTGGAGTCTAGAGCCCATTGCAGGCAAAGTGGCAACCTCAGCACGACAGACACCAAGGGGGCATTCCAGCTTCCTCTTCACAATGACTCTGACCCCGAAGGCCCCTGCCCTCTCCGCTTGGGTAGGAGAGCAGGTCAGAGAAGCCAGAGAGCCCGGTCAGCGATATTGCCCAGTCGCTCCCTTGTAGCTGGGCTCCGGCCCATCAGAGAGGCTGGGCATCTTCTAGGTGCTGACACCCCTGCCAGTTCCTGAGTTTAGAAGCAGCTGTGGATGCCGAGAGCCGGTAAGGAGTAGGTCCCGGCTCTGAATGTGATGACGAAGAGGAGGAGTCTAGGACCTATAGCAAGAGCGTTCATGGGTGGTAGCTTGGGCAGCGCTCCCAGTGCCCTCGAGGAGAAGGATTATCACCACCCTGCGCTGCAGAGGAAGATACTGGGGCTCGGCAAGGTTAGGTAACGTGGCCAGTGTCACACAGTTGGTAAGCAGTGGAGCCAAGATTCAAACCAGGCAACCTGCCCAGTCATAGCCCCAATGGGGCCACACAAAGGGCCTCAGGCTACAGCCTACCGCTTCTGGGCCCTTCAGAAACCCCCAGAGCCATCCCCTGGGGCAGGGGTACATGGGCGGGCAGGCCCCCCTGCTTCCAGGCACACCACAGAAAGGTGACTTTCCCCCTTGCTTCTAGAGACTAGGAGGTCAAGGAAAGCTTCCCGATTCTCCCCACTTTACAGAGGTAGTGGCTTTTATCCTGGGTTTTGAAGCATAAATAGGAGTTTTCCAGGCAGAGAAGAAAGGAATAGTTCCCTTTGTGCATCCAGAGGGATGGAGGTGTGACCCAGTAGCAGCGTTAAGGACTGGGGAAGTTAGTGTGGGTGATCGGGGAGGAGAGACTCTTGTCAGGTCTTCAGAATGTAATCGGCCGTGAATAGAAAGTTTTTAACTAAGTCAACAACATGGTCAGAAAAGCGACCCCGCAGCTCTGCCAGAGGTCGGACAAAGATGCCACGCTTAGAGACAGAGCATCCCCGGGTGGTTCTCAAGGGCATGAACACGTCCCTCAGGATCCCGTCTTTTGTTTTGGAATGCTCTGGAAAAACGCGGTGTGTTATTTCACGTGCACTCTTGTTCTGTGAAGGACTGGTTTTCCCTCCAGAAGCGTGCATCTCAGTTCTGCTACAGAAATCGGTGGTGAAACGCTGTGCGTTTTTAAATTATTAGCGTGAGAGCCAGCTTGGCTGAGACACAGTTAGTCCATAGCAGGACCGCCTTCATGTCTTTTCTTGCAAAATGAGAAGTAGCTGAATAAGGAATTAAAAGCATATAGCTGTGTCATCTCTGTCTGGGACCCCATTGCTTTCAAAAAGAAAAACAATTTGGAAATCAAAGGTTAGGGTTAGGGATCCCTTCTGCAATTCTTTAAAAGCCACAGCCTTGGGGCACCTGAGTGTCTGACTTCTGCTCAGGTCATGATCTCGAGGTCCGTGGGTTTGAGCCCAGTGTCGGGCTCTGTGCTGACAGCTCGGAGCCTGGAGCCTGCTTCGGATTCTGTGTCTCCCTCTCTCTCTGTCCCTTCCCTGCTTATGCTCTGTCTCTTTGTCTCTCTCTCTTGAAAATAAATCAACATAAATAAAAGCCACAGCCTCCCTGAGGCAGTCTGGTGGGGCAGTTAAGGGCAAACACTTGGCATATGAGACAGAGCTCACACTCTGGCTCCGAGACCTGCCGCCTGCTAACTGCGCCGCAGTTTCCTCTTTTCCTACATCACGGAAGTGCCTGCGCCACAGGGACATGGACGAACGGGTTATCCACAAAGCAGTGATGGGTTCCGGAGAGGAAAGCCGCATTGCGGGCCTGCTGCTGTTCTCGCTTACTGTGAGGTGACAATTCTTTGCCCGGTTTCCCTTTTCCTTTCTTTAAAAGATACCACCAGGCCCCGAAAGAGCCACGAGAAGGAAGGGGTGGAGTATCACTTCGTTTCTAAGCAAGCATTCGAGGCCGACTTACATCACAACAAGTACGTGGATGTGATGGCCCGGCTGGCCTCGGCGCGCTGGGGCTCTGTGCGTGTGTCCACTGGTCCACTTGACCTCATGGGAGGGCTCTCGGGAGAGATGGGGGAAGTGGGAGAGAATTTGCGGTGGAAAGTCCCCCCATCTTTCCGCGCTTGCTTAGACAAGCTCAGAAACTAACGGCCTGCTCACCGTTGGTGGTGTTTTAGGTTCCTGGAACACGGTGAATATAAGGAAAATCTCTATGGGACCAGCCTGGATGCCATTCAGGCCGTGATGGCCAGAAACAAAGTGTGTTTGGTGGACGTGGAGCCGGACGTGAGTTTCTGGGCCAGTTGGGCATTTTCTGTGACAGAATATGTAAACGAGGGAACTGTGTCTTTTACAGAACATTTGACCTCAGTTTTAGGATTTTTTAAGTCCATAGTACTGGCTGTTAAAGTTTCCTTAAGTCTCCCTTTGAGAATCTAATGAAACCTTTGTTGTACCCCTAAACATGCACATCAGTACCCAAGACAACATTAATCGTGGGGCGCTCGCGGTCCCTCTGCGGGGCCTGCAGACCTCGGACAGTAGCCTCTGCGTAAATCATGGAGTCAGTGGTGACACCCAGTGATCACCGGTGATGTGACAGGGAATTAGATGTCAATGCACAGGTGGATGGTAGGGCTCAGCCCTCGGTATCAGGACACCCCCCCCCCCCACCTCACCCCCTTCTCAGACAAGTAAAATGGTGGCTTAGGGAATCACCGAAGGAGGCGGCGCGGCCAGGAGAGCAATCTGAAGGGAAAAGGAAAGGAGGCCTGACCCTGTAAAGTGCTTCAAAACCATTTCCAGTTCTGCACATGGTGCGTGCTGTGTATTTGACCGGGACTTAACCGTCTTTTTAATCTTGTCTTCGGGAAACACTTCTAAGCTCTGAACCCAACCTGGGGATTTTTATTCCTCTATGGAAACAGCCCACGCTATAAGCGGCAGGGCTTGATTTCACAGAAGTTGGCTTGAAACAGAGTTCCAGAAAGCACGTTATGTCTGTGGAGGAAAATCCTCTCTCATTTGGACTTACTGGGGGCTGGTAATTGAAATTAAAAGTCTAGATTTCAATATTTTACCTGAAAAGTGATTTTATTGATTTTTTTTTTTGCTGGGCGGGGGAGTGGGGCAGTATGGGTTCTAGAGACCAGTGTTTCCAAGCGGAGGCATAACGTTACAGACCATATGCACTAACGAACAGGGTGATTTGCATATTGAAAACCTTCTAAAGTCTTTACAGTGTGTCTCAAACGGTTTCTATGCCTCTTCATTTGCTTAGCAAACCTTTTCTTCTTTGAATATAAGGAGGCCTGTTTGATAACACATATTTTGGATTAGTCCAAATTGGTGACATTTGACTCCATAGAAGCACGTTGAATCTTGCTGCTTCTTCCGTCAAGACTGGACAGGTGGACAAGGGCGTAAGAAGGTTAATTAGAGCTCGTGGGGTCAGGGCTTAAAGAAATGGCAGCTCTTGGGGCCAGGGCTCTGGAACGTTTGTTCTCAGCACGTGGGTCTTTGGGGGCCCAGCCAAGTCCAGTGTCAAAGTGGAGGATGGGAAAATGAGCAGCTGGTCTGCCCAGCTGAAGTCCATTGTCATAGGACCATGTGATCAGGACCTTTGCCACCAAAGTTATGTGATGAAGTACACCGTCACCCAGCGTACAAAAAGTGTTTTCACAGTCACGTGTTTCCCAAATGTATATTATTCTTGAACTTCCTTTCGCAGGCACTGCAACAGCTGAGGACCTCAGAGTTCAAGCCCTATGTTATATTTGTAAAGCCTGCAATACAGGAAAAAAGGAAGACACCACCTATGTCCCCGGCTTGTGAGGACACAGCAGCCCCACTTGTAAGTTCAAAGTTGATGTTTCCGAAGGCCCAAGAAGGCCTGTTACAGCTGCACAAGGGTGCTTGTACCTTCTGGACAGGACCGTCATTCCATTTGCCTGTTGGCCAGACTTAAGATGGTCATGTCGCCAGAAGGCACGAGGTAGGGCCGCCGAAAGTTCCTCCCAGTTCAGACAGGGATGAATTTGCCTGGGCTCCCCACACTTCACTCCTTCACAGAAGCACCCTCCCAGAAGATCAGGGACATCTGTCAAGAATTTGATCACACTAATCTGTTAAATTCCCAAGCCAAACCCAAGTAGTTTTTAATTAAAATACCAACTCCGGATCCAGCAAGTGAATCCAACATGGGGCAGGGGACAGCACGGCAGGAATTCTTCCTGTCTGCTGTTCAGGAGGGTGACTGTCTTTAAAAATTTTTTCTTAATGTTTATTCATTTTTGAGAGACAGAGAGACAGAGTGCGGGCAGGGGAAGGGCAGAGGGAGAGGGAGACGCAGAATCCGAAGCAGCTCCCGGCTCTGAGCTGTCAGCACAGAGCCCACCGTGGGACTCAAACCCACGAACTGTGAGATCATGACCTGATGATCATGACCAGACGTTTAACCGACTGAGCCACCCAGGCGCCCCTGTGACTTTCTTGTTGAAGCCACAGGTGGTTGAGTTCCACCTTTCCAGGCCAAGAAAAGGGTTCAGGGGATTTATGGCTGGAAAACAAATGTCATCCATTTTACTCCATGAGAGATTTACTTGAGTTCTTTCAAGATGCAAATGTTAGGAGGACTGAGGTACTTAGTGGCAAAACTGTTCCGTCTAATATTTCTTTTTTAGTGTTTATTTTTTGAGAGACAGAGCACGAGTGGGTAAGGGGCATAGAGAGAGAGGGAGTCACAGAATCCGAAGCAGGCTCCAGGCTCTGAGCTGTCAGCACGAACTGTGAGATCATGACCTGAGCCAAAGTTGGAAGCGTAACCAACTGAGCCACCCAGGCACCCTCCTTCTATAATTTCTTAAAGAGCTGAATGTTTCCAAGATGAACAATGAGGGTACCTGGAGGTGGGGAAACTCCAGAAGTGGGGGACAGGTGCACCGGAGGTATATGGGGTTGGATGGGGACATGGGATTGAAGTTCCAGGGGCAGCACTGGCACTCTGAAGAATGCTTTTGAGTAGGGGCACCTGGGTGGCTTAGTCAGTTAAGCGTCCGACTTTCGCTTAGGTCATGATCTCACGGTTCGTGGGTTCGAGCCCCGCGTCGGGCTCTGTGCTGCCAGCTCAGAGCCTGGAGCCTGTTTCGGAGTCTGTGTCTACCTTTCTCTCTGACCCTCCCCTGCTCACGCTCTCTCTCTCTCTCTCTCTCTCTCCTAGAAATTTAAAAAAAAAAAAAATTATAAAAAAAAAAACAAAAAGAATGCTTTTGAGTAGGGGAGGAGCCCTGTGAGAGAGAGTATTTATTTAGAAAGTTTTTCCCGGGGGCACCTGGGTGGCTCAGTTGGTTAAGCGTCTGACTCCTGATTTAGCCTCAGGGTATGCTCTCAATGGTTTGTAAGTTCAAGCCCTTCTTGGGATTCTCTCCGCCCCTCCCTTGCTCACCCTGTCTCTTAAAAATACTTTAATTTTTTTTTTTAAGAAAAGGGGGCGCCTGGGTGGCTCAGTCAGTTAAGCATCCGACTTCGGCTCAGGTCATGATCTCACAGTTCATGAGTTCAGGCCCCGCATCAGGCTCTGTGCTGCTGACAGCTCAGAGCCTGGAGCCTGCTTCAGATTCTGTGTCTCCCCCCTCTTCGCCCTTCCCCCACCTCAAAAATAAATCAACATTAAAAAAATTTAAAAAGAAAAAGGAAAGCTTCTCCCAATGTGATCTACTTTTTCCCCTCCTGGGAGAAAGAAGTGAGGAGGAGAAGGAACCTCAGCCTTCTCTTCTGCCTCTACCGTTTTTGAGGCCAACCTGTTTCCTAGGCCTTTAGAACACATCTTCTAAAGGAAAGTAGGAGTGGGGGTTGATTGGCAACAGAGAGAAGAGGAGGAGGGAGTATTCTGGAATGTGGGTCTCTTTGGGGGAGGACAACTCGCCCTGTTCTGTAAAAGCGCTGAGTCTCTGTAAGCATAAGACTGGAGAGAGGTGGGGGCGTCTGGGGGGCTCAGTCAGGTTTAGGTGTCCAACTTCCTGATTTAAGCTCAGGTCATGATCTCATAGTTTGTGAGTTTGAGCCCTATGTCAGGCTTAGGATTCTCTCTCCCTCTCTCTGCTCCTCCCTTGCTCATGCTCGCTCTCTCTCCTTCTCTCTCTCTCCAAATAAATAAATAAAACTTAAAAAAAAAAAAAAAAAGACTGGAAAGAGAAAAGGAGGTGGGTAAATGCCAGAGGCCCATTTTCATTTTGCTGGTTACTTAATGTAGATCTGCCACCTGCCTTTTCCCCCCAAATCAAGCTAATTGTCAGTCAGCTACCCACTTGAGCTTCTGGTTATTCGAAGCGTTCTTGAAAGAAGAAGCAAACCCTGAGCAGGCTGGGCAAAGGAGGGGTCACTGGCTACCTGTCCCTTACTGGTAGGTGTCAGGAAAGCAGTCTGATGAAAGGAAATGGGGCATCTGGTCAGGATTATCCCAGCACTTGGGTAAAAAACCCTAGCTTCTGTGCTGGTGTCTGGCTCTGGTTATGATGAAATGACAAGGAGAATTAAGTTCTATGGGTTTAGGAGTTTTCAGAGGGCGCCAGAGTTATTTTCTTTCTTTTTCTTCTTCGTTGATTCCAGCAATGCCTGCTTTGCTTCTGGTTGAGAGTCTGTATAGTTCTTTGCCGGAATTATTTAACCAAGTTGACATGCAACACAATAGTACCACTTCTTTGGAAATCTCTTCCAACAGGAAGTGTGATATTGACGTGTACACACGGGTATAGACTCGACATTCTCCCGAAGCACCTACCATGGCTGGAGGTTAACCAATGCATAGCAGATATTTTAAGGGAACGTAGTAGGTATCTTAAGAGAACGAACGATGATGAGGTCTACTGCCTGGTGACATTTTGGGAGGCTGTGATGGGCCATTGTCACTACACTCTGTTCTTGGGTGCACCGTTGGGTATTCGTGGGCCGTAGTCACCCACTCATCACTTGAAAATTAGAGGCAGGCCCATTGCCCAAGAAGAAGACTGGAGGCTTCTTATTTTGAGGGAGAACCACCCAGCTACTGCCTCAGCGCCCCTTTCCTTGCAGGATGAGCAGCAACAGGAGATGGCCGCCTCCGCCGCCTTCATAGACCAGCACTACGGGCACCTGGTGGACTCCGTGGTGGTGAAGGAGGACCTCCAGAGCGCACATGGCCAGCTCAGGGTGCTTCTAGAGAAGCTGAGCAAGGACACTCACTGGGTACCTATTAGTTGGGTCAGGTAACTGTATCCTAGGACGTCCGGGTTGGAAGGGACCTGGAAGACCACCTAGCCCGGCCTCCCCCGTGCCACCATCGAGCAGTCTCCAGTGTGGAGAGGAGCAGAAGTTTTCATAAACTCCATTGTCGAGAAGAGCATGTGCGTGGAGTCTGGTTTGTTACTGGCTTTTGTCTGTTGTTTTTCCTCACTGCACCCCTTTGGAGCAGAAAACAGGAATTGAAAGGGAGGCATATCACAAAATAACACATTTCATTCATTAAAGTGTCACAGGCAAGCTGACCCTGATTCTTTGGACCAAAGTGAAGTGGCCACCGTCTTTTGGGGGCAGGAGGGTGGTGGTGGTGGTGGTGGATTTATGCAGTACCGGTTTGCAGAGATGTTTAAGCTTAAAAAATTTATTTTTAACATTTACTTATTTTTGAGAGCCAGAGACAGAGCATGAATGGGGGAGGGGCAGAGAGAGAGGGAGACACAGAATCCAAAGCAGGCTCCAGGCTCTGTCTGCACAGAGCCCGATGTGGGGCTCGAACCCACAAACCGTGAGATCATGACCTGAGCCGACATCAGCCGCTTAACCAACTGAGCCACCCAGGTGCCCCAGAGATGTTTAAGCTTTCTAAACAGAGTGACGTTTCATTATTCAGCTTTGTTGGAAATTGAGTTGTTTTGCCCCCTGACATGTTCATGCAGCTGGGGCTCCCCGGTCGTCAAGCACTAACGTGTTGACTTTGACCTCTTGGAGAGTGTTTGCTTGGCAGTGGAAAAACTTGGTTCTCTGCCTGCTTAAACAGCGAGCATGCACAAGCTTTATCTGAAACGTAAGGCACGCTTCGCCGTCACCGCGAGTCACTGGGCTATTGGACGACGCAGTGGTGTTTGCAGGGACTCTGGAGGAATACAAGGCTGTTTGTCCCTTTTCTCAATACCCTCAGGTTCCTAGAAGTGAGCCCTGGCTTTGCTTTGTCCTGTTCTATCACCTGTCCTTCTTGTCCCTGCCAATTGTCCTGCTTCTCCCCTGGCCCAACCTTCACATTAGAGAGGCTTCTGTCATGCTAGGTCATGGGAAACCAAATGATACCTCCCGTCAAAGACACTTCGGTCCTGACTCTCAAAATCAAAGTATAAAGATGCAGTGTGGGCCTAATGGCTGGTCCTTGGGCAAACGTGTTTAATGTCACACGACTTGTGATGTATCTTAGCTGCGCAGAGAATTTTATTAATTAGTAGCCTGTGTATGGAAGTCTTGGCTCTGCGCCAGGAGCTATGCTAAGGCTGCTGTATATGTGACTGACAGATATACCAAGCCTATGACACGGGCCTATCACTCCGTTATCCAAATGAGAAAAAACAGGCCTAGGAAGATTCAGCAACCTGTCTGAGCTCACACAGCTCTAAAGAAATGGCAGAGCCGTAGGACTGGAACCCAAGCCTCCCTACCAGAGATGGTCATTGCTGTCTGTATCCTGCGCTGCTCTATCCTTCTGTGGTCTCATAATTGGGGCTACCCGTTAAAGAACGGACTTGCGCGTGAGGACTGCGTTCCTAGCTAGAATTTACAACAACATGCCGTGGTGGGGGTGGGATGTATCTTTTAAGATGGCAAGGAGGCCACTTACCCATTGCAAGCTCTTCCTCTCAGGAGATTTGCTGCCTGTGTCGAAATTTCCACTTTGCATTCTCCTACAGAGACACTTTTGCACCTTTCTAGCTCCCAGACCTGGCAGATCCACCTGCGAGATTCACATCCTAAAAAAGCAAAAGGGCGAGGACTTCTTTGCCCTGACTACGTGAGCACCCGCTTCTTAGCAAGTGAGATGAGTCTTGAGTTCTTCCATGTGGCAGCTGGCCCTGGACGTGGGAGTGACATATGCAGAGGTGTGTGTGTTACACAGGAGAGCCAGGAGCTAAGGTCAGCTCTGAGGCAGGAAACACAGAGGTCAAAAGGGCCCTTGAGAGGCACCAACCAACTCTTGGCCAAGCCCCATCTGGGTGGTTTCTCCTCCAGTATCTGAACAATGGTTGAGCACCCAATGCCGCCCTTTTATTTATTTATTTATTTATTTAGTATTTCATTCTACTCAACAGGCATTTTTGGCTTCTTACTATTTTTACACAACTGTCAGATAAAGTGGTACTAATTCTCTTCCTGTATATGATAAAGCAAGGCGTGGAAATGAGATGCCTGCTTTATTTCCTGTCCAAGTCACTTCCCTGCCCCTGAGATGAGCTGTGTCGACAGCCATTTGTGTGCTACTAAGTCAGTGAGAGTAGAACAGGTAGGTCCCCAGAGACGGAGGTCATTTGTAAAGCGTTAATACTGTTTGTAAAAAGCAGAGAAGCCTTGCTAGAAAAATAAAACAGAATACGCAATTGTTTACAAATAGATTTGGTAGGACGTAGGTAAATATCATGCCAAGTCTCCTTCTGGCTAGAACTAAATATGTGCTGAGCCGCTGGGCCAATCTGCAAAAGCCCATCACTCTGGGTGGGTCCCCAGCCCAAGAAATCTCTCTCTCTCTCTCTCTTTTTTTTTTTTAATATTTTTTTATTTATTTCTAGGAGAGAGAGAGAGAGAGACAGTGTGAGCAGGGGAGTGTCAGAGAGAGAGGGAGATACAGACTCTGAAATAGGCTCCAGGCTCTGAGCTGGCAGTCAGCACAGAGCCCGACGCGGGGCTCGAACCCACGAACCGCGAGATCATGACCTAAGCGAAAGTCGGACACTTAACCGACTAAGCCACCCAGGCGCCCCCCAAGAAATCTCTTTATTACATACTCCTCAAGATAGAGCCCCCCCCCCCCCCCCGCCCTTGGGTCTTCAAATTTAGGTAAGCTCTGCCCATGTCTACTGAAAGAATGTGAGCTCCGGAGGACTTTTCTAGATCGAGGATGTTAAATGGGTGAGGCATATGTATGTGTTGCCACCACCCATTCTTTTATCCACGGCACACAGAACTCCTTGGACGTGACACTCCTGCCTCTAAGCACTGCCTTCGGATCTTTCAGGTCAAAGTATCCAGCATCAGTTCAGCAGAATTAGCAAGTGAGTTAATCCTGTTTGCCATCCTTGATCCAGTGCTGTGTAACCATGTGTGCCGCCCACTCCCCCCTCTGCGGGAGAGTGGTTTAAGAAAGATACAACCATACATCCTCCAGGCTGTGCTCAGCTATGATAAACTTTAGCCAATTGTGCTTTTAAAGCCATCGCGTGTTTGAATACATACACAAAGACATGTAGCCCATGACAATTTTACATACATTTATCCAGCGTCACGTTTGTGCCACCAGTCCCCGAAATCATGCACACCAGAATGACAGCACTTGGTGATTTATTTAACGACAACAGACCATACCAAGCACAAGGCCCCATTTTGAGTCATACAGAACCAATGAAAAAACTGGGAGAGCTGATGTAGGTCAATTTCTTTATTTTTTTCCCCCTGCCCTTTGAATATAGTCTCAAACTACCGCTTCCTTTAAAAGGCAGGCTTATGGTTTTAGGGGCGCCTGGGTGGCTTAGTCGGTTAAGCGTCCGACTTTCGCTTAGGTATGATCTCGCGGTTCGTGGGTTCGAGCCCCGCGTCGGGCTCTGTGCTGACTGCCAGCTCAGAGCCTGGAGCCTGTTTCAGTCTGTGACTCCCTCTCTCTCTGACCTTCCCCTGTTCACGCTGTCTCTCTCTCTCTCCTAGAAATAAATAAAATATTTAAAAAAAAAAAAAAAAGGCAGGCTTATGGTTTTAGAACAAGATGGTGTAGAATCAGCTTTTCCTTCTTTTCTCCTCTAAGTACAACGAAAAGCCTTGAAAACTTTTAAAAAATGATAAAAGGACTCTGAAAGCTAGAAAGAAGATGGGGGGCTTGCTGGGGACCCCGGGACTTGAGGAACAGCAAAGCCGTGAATCTCCTGGGTTTTCTTTTCCTCTCCATATACCCTGGACTAAGATCTGAAGGGGCCTGCAACCCAGAACCACCAGCAGAAAGAAGAGGAAGAAAAAAAAGGAAAGCTTGCTTTCTCAGCCAAAGGACAAAAAAAAGGGAGCCCAGTAGAGACTTACGGGAACCCCAGCCCTAGTTTCACACCAGCGTGCCGGCAGGTGGCTCAAATCGTTCCCAGCAGCAGCAAAGCCCTGTGTCTCCCTGCTTGCCCCACTACAGAAGACCCAGCACCACCATGCGATCCAGGGAACACCACAGAAGACACCAGCCCGGATTGAGTAGGAACCCTAGCCGCACCAAAAGAACAGCGCAGACCAGAATAGTATCTCAAGGGCTCAGGAAACAAACTGAACTGCTGTCTCTTCCTCGGCACTGCCTGTGGAGGTGGCAGTCATCTTCCTCGGCATCCTGGCCGCCCTCAGCCCTCTGGTGAAGCCCAAGATCGTGAAAAAGAGGACCCAGAAGTTCATCTGGCACCAGTCAGACTGATGTGTCAAAGTTAAGTGCAAATGGCAGAAACCCAGAGGAGTTGGCAATAGGGTTGCATGGAAGATTCGAGGGCCAGATCTTGATGCCCAACATTGGTTACGGGAGTGACAAGAAAAAGCACATGCTGCCCAGTGGCTTCCGGAAGTTCCTATTCTACAACGTCAAGGAGCTGGAAGTATTGCTGAAGAACGACAAATCTGACGGTGCAGAGATCGCTCACAGCATCTCCTCCAAGTGCCACAAAGTCCTTGTGGAAAGAGCAGCCCAGCTGGCCATCGGAGTCACCGACCCCAATGTGAGGCTGCTCAGAGAAGAAAATGAATAGACAGCTTATGTACATGTCATATTTGTGTTAATAAAACCATAAAACTGAAAAGAAAAGACAGAAAGAAAGGCGGGAAGGAAGGAAGAGAAAGGAAGGAAGGAAGGAAGGATGGAAGGAAGGAAGGAAGGAAAGAAGGAAAGAAGGAAGGAAAGAAAAGAAAGAAAGAAAGGAATGAAGGAAGGGAGGAAGGAAGGAAAGAAGGGAGGGAGGGAGGGAGGAAGGGAGGAAGAAAGGAAGGAGAGAGAGAGAGAGAAAGGAAGGGAAAGGAAACTGAACTGTCTTTGGAACTAACACCCATAAAAGAACCAATACGCTATACTTAAACAGGACTCCCACCTGCTAAAATAGATGTAAATAGAATTAAAAGATCCCTAACATAATGACCTAAATGTCCAGGATACAATAGAAGATCACTCATCATACCCCAAACCAGGAAAACAACAATGTAAATAAAAGGCAATCAACTGCTACCAATACTGATATGATTCAGATGTTAGAATTTATCTGACAAGGATTTTGAGGCAGTTATAATAAAAATGCCACAATAGTCAACTGCAAATTCTCTTGAATTGGAAAATCTTAGCAAAGAAATAGAAATTATGAGAAAGAACCACATGGAAATGATAGAAACGAAGAATTACTGTCAAAGTTAAAACTTGGATGAACTCAGGAGTAGCATGGAAATGACAGATCAGATCAGGGTACTTCAGGACAGATCGATGAAACAATCCGAACAACAAAGAAAAAGATAAGGGACCCATATGGGACAATAATGAAAGAGCTAACATGTGTATCATCAGAATCCTAGGAGAGGAGAAATGTGAGGCTGAAAAATATTCAAAGAAATAATGGCTGAAAACTCCCCAAAGTTGGTGAAAGATAGAAACCTATGGATTCGAGAAGTTGATACACTTCAAGTAGGTGGAGACCAAAGAAATCCACTGGACATATCATAATTAATCTTCTGAAAACTGAACACTTAGATAACATCTGAAAAAAAGGGAGAAACAACCAGGAAGCAGTACCAATTCAAGTTCTATTTTAGTATGGCCTATAAAGGAAACTACGGAGGCAGAAAGAAGTCACGCAACATTTATAAAGTGCTGAAAGCAGAGAACTGTCAATCTTGAATTCTATATGTGATGAAATTATCCTTAAGGAGTGAAAGGGAAATGAAGACATTCTCAGATGAAGGGAAACTAACAGCACATGCAGAGACTGAGCAATAGGAATGCTGGATTTAAAATATGTAGTCAGGGGGTGCTTGGGTGGCTCAGTCGATTGAGCATCTGACTTTGGCTCAGGTCATGATCTCGCAGTTTGTGGGTTGGAGCCCCACATCAGGCTCCGCGCTGACAGCTCAGAGCCTGGAGCCTGCTTCAGATTCTGTGTCTCCCCCTCTGTCTGCCCCTCTGCCCTCATGCTCTGTCTCCCTCCCTCTCTCTGTCTCTCTCTCAAAAATAAATAATAAGCAGTACAAAAATTCTTAAAAAATACTTTGCTCTATGAAAGATCCCGTGAAGAGGACAAAAAGACAAATGACAGACTGGGAGAAAATATTTTGCAGCTCACAGATCCAACAAAGGATTTGGTCTACACTATATAAAGAACTCTCAAGATTCAAGATTAAAAAAAAGGAACAGCCCAGTTAGAAAATAGACAAAAGATATTCACAGGCATTTTATGCAAGAGGATATACAGATGACAAATAAACATGCAAGATGTTCAGCTTCCTTAATCATGACAAAATGCAGAATGAAAACCACAGGAGATGTCACTGCACAAATATCGGAACGGCTAAAATGAAGAATAAGACCGAATGCTGATGAGGATGTGGAGAAACTGCACCACTCATCCGTTGCTCGTGGAAATGTAAATGGTACAGCCACTTGGGAAATAGCTTTGTAGTTCCTTTCAAACTAAGCTTACCATACAACCCAGCTATTGTATTCTTGTGTCTTTATCCTGGGGAAATTAAACTTATTTTTATGCAGAAACTTGGAACAAATATTCATAGCTGCTTTATTCATGATAGTCAAAAAAACCTAGAAACTACCCAAACGTCCTTCAACAGGTAAACGGTTAAACACACTGGGACATTTATATCACAGAATACAGCTCAGCAGTAAAAAGGAATGCACTTTTGATGTACACGACTTGCATGAACTTCAAGGAAATTATATGGAATAAAAAAAGCCAGTCTCGAAAGAATGGATAAGTACTGTGTGATACTATTTATGTAACACTTATGAAATAGCATAATTACTATTGTAATTATGGAAAAACAAATTAGTGATTGCCAGGGGTTAGGAATGGAAGAGGGTGGCTGTGACTAAAAGGAGTGGTACAGTAGAGTGTTTTGATGACGATACCATTTAACCATATATCTTGAATGTGGTTGTAGTTTTCCAAAGTTACACATGTGATAACACTACTTTATTATTTTTTTATTTTTTATGTTTATTTAGTATTGAGACAGAGAGAAACAGAGCATGAGTTGGGGGGGGGGCGTCAGAGAGAGAGGGAGACACAGAATCTGAAGCAGGCTCCAGGCTCTGAGCTGTCAGCACAGAGCCCGATGCAGGGCTTGAACCCACAAACTGAGAGATCATGACCTGAGCCAAAGTCAGATGCTTAACCGAGTGAGCCACCCAGGTGCCCCAACATTACTTTAGAGCTATCTACACACCAAACTAATGAGTGCATGTATAACTGGTGAAATTTGTATACACTCTATGGACTGGACCAATGTCAGCTCCCGGGTTTGATGGAGTAGGACAGTTACCCAAGAGGCCAACTTCCGAGGGGAAGTTGGGTGAAGGGTGGGGGAGCGCCCCGCCCCCACCCCGTACTTTATGTGCCACTTCCTGTGAATCTAATTATTTTAAAATAAAGAGTGTATTTATTGGTGATGAGAACATTTAAGGTCTACTCTCTTTCAAAATAAAAAGTTTAAAAAGTCAGGCTCAACCCCAGCATGACCAGTCATAGCAGTCAGGTAGCGCCGTCTTGGCATATGTTTTGAGATATGTTTGACATTTTCACTGTCGCTGCTCCCTTGTAAATGGACAGAGTACATGGAAACTTCAATGAAGCGGTTTCCAATTCTGTGTATGCACAGAGAAACGAATGGTATTTGTTCTCTGTGTTGTCAGAGCCTTAATCTTATTTCACCTGCTTTTGTTTTCCATTTTGACAGAGCTGTGCTTGTGGCTGGGTCATCTTACCCCACCCTCCTACCCTCCACGATGGTGTTGATGGTGTATGCTTTAAAAAGTTGTTTCTCTCACTTTCTCTCTCATAGACACTTGTGTTCATAGCCCCAAATAAAAATGCTTGTATCCTTCCTTCTGCCTGCCCCACTCTGTCTCCATTTTGGGGATGGGACTTAAAGCCTTCGGGCATCTTCAGTGTAACTTATTTAACTTACTCATTTTATGTTCCAAGCTTTATTGTAGCATCCTAAGATTGAGCATTTAGCCACTTAGGAAGGAGTGTCTTGAGATTCTAAGCAGCTAAGAAATCCTAGGGCTTTCTCTTGTATCTTTCCCATGGTGAGTGACCTTGTGTATTCAGGGGAAAAGAGAGGGAGAGAAATAGAGAAACATTAATTGCACAGACCTATTCCTTAGAAAGCCTGAGTGGCCATTTAGCCTCCTCCCCAGGGATTAAAAACAAAAAAACAAAAACAAAAACAAAAAACCAACCCAAACTTGGCCATTACTAATAAAGTTAAATAATACAAAACGCCAACACAACAGTACTTTTAAATAGTGACAGAGACGTGTCATTCAACTTTTGGCATGACATTGAAGCCGTGAGACCTCCTGTTTACGTTTTATTGGAACAAATCGCTTCCCCTTAGACTCCCATAAAGACTCAAAGCTGATGACAAAAGCCAGTCATTTCCGACTCAGGGAGAGGGGACACAGAGACTTCTAAGTTCCCTTATATTCGCAGAAGGGCAAAATCCATCCCTTTAACTGGGCCCCTTGTTCTCCATCTACACAATTCTTAGGGCTTTGGCTTCAACTGTGATCACTCTATTTCACAGTAAGAAGCAGCCATGGGGAGACATACCTATTCATCTCGGGAGAGAAGATATTTTGTTGTATTTCTGATATAGCGCCTTGAATTCTTGAAGGAAAAAAAAAATCAGAGAGAATGACGTCAGTGCCAGGAGGCTGATGCTAAAGTTGAAGGTCTAGCTCCTAAGGCTGGCTTGGAAAAGGCTTACAGATCCCTTCTCAGCCTTCTGGCTAAGATCAAGTGGAAAGGCTTACAGACCCAAGCCGCAGAGTGGGGGTGGGGTGGGGTGGGGGGGTATCTTAAAAACACTGCAGATGGCTTTTCTCTTTTCCCTTCTTGAAGGGTCATTCCTAAATGAAGGAAATCAGCCACACCCTGAATCATACACCGTTCCTCCTCTCGGCTTGTACGTTCAGCCTTTTTCAATGAGTTAAAGCTTGAGGGGAGATGCTACTAGGTATTTTCTGAAACTGATGCCTCCTGGCTTTGCTACCAAGGATGGCTTGCTCCTGCCCTTGGCTTTGTTTGCTCTGGGTAGCTTCTCTTTTACAGATTGTTGCCTTTCTCATGATCCCTCCCCCCACCACCCAGAGGTCTCTTCCGAGGCTGACTCCACTCTGAACAGATGAACTCAGTGTGTGCTGGGGAGTAGGGCCGGGTATCCACGTGCCTGCCAGTCTATCTCCGATGACCTGTGGTCGTAATGTGGTTTTCGATCACCAAGCCTCTTCAGAATGCCCTGGTTTTCCATGGTGATTCTCACTAGCTCCCGGTTTCTTGTTTCTCTGTTTAAGCTGAAGCACACAAAATCCTGAGACAGTTGAAGAATAAACTTCCCCTCTTGGAGGAAGTCGTGATGTCATAAACCCAGGCCAGCTAAGCTCAGGGAACAGACTGTCCTGTTGAACTCTGAGGTCCCCATACACCTGTTGAAATAGACTACACTCTGGGGCATGTACACAGCTTGTACCAGCAGTTTTTCAACCCTGACGTCTACTAGAAGATTCTACTTTACTGGTCTGGGGCGCAGCTTGGACCCTGCCATTTGGGAAAAGCACCCCAGGAACTGTTAGGTGAAACCAGGACTGAGAATGTCTGGTTTATATCATGTGGGAAGGTCTTGCTTATGGATACATCACAAAAGGACAGTGACAAGTTTGCTTCACTTCTTCTCAGATTTCAACAATTTCGGATATACAAGGATACATACACACACCCCAAATTCTTTCCATTGCATACACTTCTTTTGTTGCCCTGGCTACACTGATTATTTACATAAATGTCTCCCCTAACAGGTCTTGAGTTCTTTGAGGTCAGGAAATATACATATATGTATCTCATTTCATCCCCCTTCATAGCACTTAGCACACAGTAGTTGCTCAGGAAATATTTGAGGAACCGATCCTTAAGAACGCTATGTCAGAGTCCCAGCAATGGTCACCATTTGACAAACGTATGCAGTATTTTCTTGTGACAAACTCTGAATAGGACTCTAAAAAGTCTCTTAGGTGCAATCAAAGTTAGGAGTCTTTAATGCCAGAAGAAGTTCCCCATTTTGAGTAGTTTTTATTCTCCTTAGTCTGATCTCTCTGGCTTACCCATCAAGATACCTTCCTTCGAGTACTACTCCTGCTCAGGAGAACCCCGCACTAAAATTCAACGAGGGGCGAGTCAATTCCGAAAAAGGGGGAAAGAACACTACCTCTTGGAAAAATATTCGTTCCAGCAATCCACCTTGGCAGGGCCACGATGGGCGTTTGCGATTTTCTGACACAGTTGCTTGTTTTCGTATTCGATTTTGTCGATTCGGTTTTGTTCGCCCTGGGAAGAAGCCACACCCCGCCATGGTGACCTCATCCATCACCCTGGCATCCCCCTCCTCTGGGATGGTGGGGAAGGGCAAGTCCAAGGCCACAGTGGAGACTGGGATCTGAGCGTAGGAAACCGGTGGTGTGCAAGGGAAGGGGAGTAGTACCAAATCTCTGGGTTAGGTGGGTACTTAGAAGGCTCTGGGAAACTGAACCTCTTCAGGACATAGATAAAAATCAGGGGCGCCTGGGTGGCTTAGTCGGTTAAGCGTCCGACTTTCGCTTAGGTCATGATCTCGTGGTTTGTGGGTTCGAGCCCCGCGTCGGGCTCTGTGCTGACTGCCAGCTCAGAGCCTGGAGCCTGTTTCAGAGTCTGTGTCTCCCTCTCTCTCTGACCCTCCCCTGCTCACGCTGTGTCTCTCTCTCTCCCCTAGAAATAAATGAAAAATATTAAAAAAAAAAAATCAGTAAAGCACACCGGCAAATGGCGAGAACAAATACCTGGAGTTTGCTCAGTTTTAAAATGTGATGTGTGTGCGCCACGGGGGGTTTGGTATCAACAGCAGGCTTCACTAGAGGATAAAAGAGAGCCGCGTTACGACACAGGAGTCCCCTTAGCCACCTCGGAAAACCTGCTCACGTTCTAAACAACTGTCCGACTAATAAACATCACGATTTTGAATTCCGATGTTACTCAGGTTCAGGAATTTTAGGTTAGTTTGATGTCCCAAGTGGACATCTTTGACGAGTTTTTAGCAGACGTGAAAGAATGTGAGGACTCGAACAAGTAAAACAGAAGAGATAATGTTCTTTGCACCCAATGAAAGAGCCTCTCCCATCCCCTCCTGATACAACTAGCCTGTTGGGAGCCAGAGTCCCACCCTCTCTCTACCTTTCTTTGGCTTTAAAGAGTTTAAATGAACATTTCCGTCCACTGGGCTCCTGGGGGAAGAGAAATTTTGTCACTGACTCTAATGTCTTCTTGACCCAACCCAGCAGAGAAGGTCACATCATTGTGAAGCCCTGTACTGGTCTGGTTTACTGTCCATATCTCTAATCTTTCAAAACCCCTAATGCCAGTGTCCTGCCCCAAGGGCCCACATACCTATTTGTATTCTATTCTTGTGACATATGTAGTGGCCAAAGTCCAGTTTCTTCCTGAAGGTTGTGCTCTGCCTGTGATTAGAGACGATTACGGGGTAGGCTAGATAATCCAGGGAATTGTTCATCTTCTCTTCCTAGTCTCACTTCAGAAATGAGGCACTCAGGCTCCTCTGTGAGGTCCTCAGCTGTCCCCATGACACGTTGTCATAGTTACCAGTTATGACATCAGGGGAAGGTCTTGGGAAGGAAGAGGAGGAGGAGCCGAGCATTCCTGGCCATCCCTGGGCTTCTGCTTGAAGGCTCATCTAGGTCCAAGTCAAGATGAGGGGGCAGACTCAGAAGCCCTCCCACCTGCCTGGCACGCAGATGCCGCCAGCAACACAGGAAAAGGTGTGCTGTGCTGGGAGGGGTGGGAAGGCGCGGGGTGTGCGTGTGTGTGTTGGGGGGGGGGGATGGAGGGATCTAGCCTTCCTTACATATGTAGTATCTTGGGGTCTAAGCTAATTTACCTCCACTGTGATGGATCCCCTGGAGGCGTGAGACCATAAGCTTCTGGGGGAAGGTGAAAGATGACCTTAATGATAATCTCATCCCATTTCTTTCGCAGAAGAGGAAACTGAAGTCCAGAGTCACACCCTGCTCTGCTGGTCACGAACCAAGTTAGTGGCAGGGCTGGGCTCCAGATGAGGTTTCCTGAATTCCCAGGATGTTTGTTTTTTGGAGGGGCAGGGGTGGGTATGGGGTATCTGCCATCGCAGTGGGGGAGGACAGAGACTGTCTTCTGCTCTTAGTGGGATCTCAGTAAGTGAGGAGCAGTCAACATTGGGCCGGGCAGCTGCTCTTGGACCGGCTGCAAAGGAGCCCGGTGCATCTCCATGCTAGCACAGGTGTAGTAGCACCTAGTAGGTGCTCATCACATTGGCTGAAATAGAGGGAGAACACCTACTGAGTGCTCACTGTACAGTGCTGAGTGCTTTCCTTGAACGTCATATTTAATCTTTCAAACAACCCTAGGAATGAGGTTCAAATGGTGTGGAAATGTTGGGGTTCCGAGCAAACAATCAAGAAAGAATTCTTGAGATGTCTTTGTGGCAAAAAGGTGGTTTTCTTAAAATACGAGGACAGGACCGGTGGTGAGAAAGAAGGGCGCTGGGGTTGTGAGCAGTGGCTGAATATATGCTTTCAAGTCTGGAGGGGCTCAGGGATAGAGCAAGTTGTAAGGAATTTTGGAAACAAGATTTCCAGGACCCCGAGGGGATTAGCTATTGGTAGGAAAAAGTCATTTATTACTGTTCAGTAAAAACTCAGTCAGGAGCCCTTTCAGATGTATATCTGGGGGGCCATATGCCTGGAGGATGATTGCTAACATATATCTTAGGAGGTAGAGATAAAGGAAGTTTCCAAAGGAATTTCTATTTGTTTAAAGTAGACTCACAGGATTCTGGGGCGGGGGTGGGGGCGCAGCTAATGTTAAGCCAAAATTCCCTTTTGCCCTTAGCAAAGTATCAACACTGAGACAGCTGAGCTCAGGACTCATCAATGGGCTGTGAGTAGCAAGGAAATTTAATTGTTTCTTTTGCCTTTGTTTCCCCCATCAGCAGTATCCCTTTTTTATCTTTTTTTTTTTTTTTTTTTTTTTTTTAAGCAAACAGTTTTTTTGAGACCAGGGTCCCAATGCCAGGTCTGGCTGCGCAGAACCCGAGCTTTTAGGCATGGTGCTGGCTCTCATCAACTGTTGGGAGAAATGTGCCTCAGACCTGTGCTTCTCAAACTTTAACCTTCGTAGGGATCGCGGAGAGGGGGCTGTGAAAGGCACATTCTTATTCAGCAGGTGTGGGCGGGGGCGGAGACTTGGCCTTTCTGACACGCTTCCTGGGCGATGTCACTGCTGCTGGTCCCGCAGCGCAGCGGGCAGCCAGAGGTCACAAGCCGAACCCGGGTGTCCCGGTAATCCTGGAAAAACTAAGCGACGCCGGTGGTGTCACTAGGACCCTGGTCAGTAGGGCCATTTATTGCGCCCTGAGTTTAATTCAATGAAGTTACTGCACTTCTCAGTTTATAATGGTACAGAAAGGGCCGCGGGTGGGCCGAAGACTCCTCCCTGCCCACACGGGGCGCGCCATTTCCGGGGGGCCCATGCCTGGGGGCCCCCGAGCGTCCGCGCGACCCCAGCGGCGCGCCTTCTCGCGGGGAGCGCGGCGCGTGGGCCGCCCGCGCTCCGCCTTTTCCCGCGCCCCCGGCGGGCCCGCCTCCGGGGCGGGACGGGGCGGGTCCCGGCTGGCGAGCCCCCGCCCAGCTGACCCGGCGGCTCTCCCCTCGCAGGCTGCTGCCCCGGCGTGCTGGGCCCGGCCTGCGCCATGTCGGGCCCGTTCGAGCTTTCGGTGCAAGATCTCAACGACCTGCTCTCGGACGGCAGCGGCTGCTACAGCCTGCCGAGCCAGCCGTGCAACGAGGTCACCCCCAGGATCTACGTGGGCAACGCGTGAGTCGCCACTGGGGCGCCCCGCCCACCCGAAAGCCGGGGTGGGGGCGTCGCGGGCGCGGGGAGAGGGGGGTGCGGGGCGTGGTCGCCGTCCTGGAGTCCAGAGGGGGCCGGGCAGGGGCTGGAGTCGCCTCCCGCCCCCGCGCGTGGGGGCGGAGGGGCTAGACCCCGCCCCGGCCCCGCGCGGTCCTCCCCCTCGCGGGGGCCACGGAGCCCGGGGCGCTCGGCCCGCCCGGCGTCCGGCCCGGCCCGCAGCCGCTACCCACTAGGGGCTCGGCTTTGGGCGGGGTCGGGCTACCAGGATCACTAAACAGGTGGCCCTGTGTCACCCGGCCGGTGTCCGTCCCGCGCGTCATGTGACAGCTGCCTGGTTCTGCAGTGAGGTCACCGCGGAATGTCTGCCTTCGCTGCCATGGCAACGGGCTGACGTCACAAACCGGGCGTGGATCTTTCCCGGCTGGGCAGGCCCGATCAAGGAATCGGAATACTCCAAATGTGGGAGCCAGAGAGCTGGGCTGGGGTTTCCTCGCTCCTTTTCCTGCCTTGCAGATAGGGTTGGATTAACCAACGCCCTGAGCTCTGTGGGCCGGGGTCTGCGTGTTGGAAACCCAGAACTAACTCTCTTCTCTCCTTTAACCGGGATGGGGGGCGGAGGGGGGGGGGGAATGGTGGCCGGGAGTGGTTGAGGGATTGTGAGGACAGGGTCAACGCCTTGTTCATGTCTGTATCAGGACCTGCTGTTTACCCTAAGGAGTGCCACAAAAATGGGGGTCATCGTGGGGCTAAAAGGGGTCCATAAGGCAGGTCCCACCTTCACGGGGGACAGTCTCCATCATTCCATCCATTCATTCACCACCTTGAGCACCTCCTGTGTGTCAGGCACTGTACAGTGCACATTCCTAGCGATAGTAATGATAATGGTAAATTTGTTGAGTGTCAAGGAATAGAGAAGGGAGGTGAGTGGGAGTTCACCTTCAGAGTTGTTTATTTTAATCAACTGCTGCCTTACAGTACAACCGTGTGTAGCCTTGTGAGCAGAGACAAACAGTCCCAGAGCCTCCGCGAGAGGGCTCAGTAATTGCAGAGTTCTGAAGATAGCCCCCTGTCCAGCCACGCAAGCAGCAAGTGGCTTTGGCACCCTTGGGACCTGCTGGCCTTGGGCAGTTTGGCACATTCGGCCGCCAACACTTCGCAAGTGAAAACTGAGGTTGTGAATGTCTGGTGCTGACGGCCACTGCAGAAAACATACCCCCTGCTCAGTGAATGAACCTGGCTTTGACTTGGCTGCAGGTGTGAGGGGTGCTGCCCGCACATTGGGATCCCCATTACCCAGATCAGGGTTCACAGGGCAGAAAGGATCCTGGAGAAGCCTTGTTTTCTAGAACTCGGGATTTGCAGTTGGTGTGGACGTGACAGGCAGAGTGAGGGAGGACAGAACAGGGCTGGCGTCAGGTCTCCTCCCAGCTCCGGCGCCAGGCAGCCCATGTGAGCACAAGCGCATCCTTCTACTGTTCTGTTGGGCCCGAGTTTAAGCCGAGTCCTTGCTTCCTCATAGGCCGCTATGACTGGCAAACGGGATCCTGTAGGAGATGGCATTTTGTAAAGTGTCAACTGCTGTCTGAATTGGGATGTTGTTGTGAGATGAAATAAAGGAGCCCTTTGACTATTCAGATCAAATGTTTTATAACCCCCAGAGTTCTGTTGGTGCCACTTGGTCCCCAAGTGCTTACTCACCCAAGAGAGCTTCAGAAACGCCGTTCGTTAGTGGGATGTGGCGGAAAGGGTCCCCCTGGGGGATGGGAGGGGCTGCTGCGCTTTATAATCCAAGGAAGGGGGCCACCTAGGTTGTGCCGATTTCCTTTCTTTTCACTGATTCACTGCAGACTCATTCAGCACCTACTATGTGCCAGGTGCCACAGCAGGTGCTAGGCAGGCAGACCTGCAGCAGACATGGTTTTTCCCTCCAGGAGCTCACAGCCTGCCCATCAAGACAAATAAACACAGTCAGGCATTAGAAGAGCACTGTCCACAGCGTCAGGCTCTGTCTACACAACAGCGCATTGAACACTCACGACAACACCCCAGAGGTAGTAGCTACTGTTATCATCCCCATTATACAGGCAGGGAAACTGGAGTTGCCAGAACCTTAAGTGGCTTGCTCAAGGTTACCTGGCTGGTAAGTCTCAGGGTTGGACTCAGACCCAAGCAGCCTGGCTTCTAGAGCCCGTTTTTAAGCCACTAGGCACTACCACTAGCACAGTGCAGAAAGCACGATGACAGATGGAATGGAGGGGTTACCAGGACATACTGCAGAGGGTGGTGAAAAACAAGAGGGTGTGTGTCCATGGAGAAGCCGGAGCACGGCATTCCAGAGGGCGGACACCATGGGTATGGAACCACCCAGTCTATTTGGGGAAGCCGCTGGTAATTAGATATGGCTGGCGTGAGGGGGGTGGGTCATGAGACAGGAGAGGCTGGCAGGGGCCGAGCACAGAGGGTTCCTGGCGTTGCCAAGACCCTTAGAATCTTCTCTGTCTTCCTCCCCCTGGGGCTGCCCCTTGGTCACTTCATCATTCCCTGCTGCCCTCTTCTGTCCAGGTCTGTGGCTCAGGACATCCCCAAGCTGCAGAAGCTAGGCATCACCCACGTTCTGAATGCTGCCGAGGGCAGGTCCTTCATGCACGTCAACACCAATGCCAACTTCTACAAGGACTCCGGCATCACCTATCTGGGCATCAAGGCCAATGACACGCAGGAGTTCAACCTCAGCGCCTACTTTGAAAGGGCTGCAGACTTCATTGACCAGGCCTTGGCTCACAAGAACGGTAAGGCACCTGCCGCCCAGGGAACAGGGCAAGGCAGCTTTGACTGGATTTTTGTTCTGGAAAAGAGGCTTCCTCTTGGAACCTATCAAGTGGCCCTGCATGACACAAGATGTAAAATTCTTTCCCCCAGTGGCAGCCCCGGAGTCCTCGTGTTTGAGTTGACTTGGGCCGAGAGCTCATTTCCAGCCACTTCCCACCGTGCCCCCCAGTTCTTCAAATAGCTTCAGTAATAACACTTTCTCTTCCACGGGAAGAAGTCCTAAGGTGAGGGAGTTCTGGGGGTGGTTGGTTCAGCAGCTCAGTGGTGGCATCAGGATGCGGTATTTCCCCTGTCTTTCTCCTGCCGCCAATGCTGGGCACTCCCCTAAGCGGTCCCAAGATGGCGGCGGCAGACCCAGTCACGACATCCCAGCAGGACAAAGTGCAGCAAAAGATGAGGCCGCCAGCTCTTTCTCGTGTGTTTTCTTTCTTTCTTTCTTCTTTTTTTTTTAATGTAATTAAATTTTTATTATTTTTTTTTACAAAGTTTATTGTCAAATTAGTTTCCACATAACACCCAGTGCTCATCCCCACAAGTGTCCTCCTCCATGCCCCTCCCCCCTCCCCCCCACATCCATCAGTCCTCAGTTTTTGTCAGCATTGGTTTGCCTCTCTCCCTTTCCCCCACCATTTCCCCCCTTCCTCTCCCCCTTGTTCCTCAGTTAAGTTCCTCCTAATCCTCCTATACATGCAAACATATGATATTTGTCCTTCTCTGCCTGACTTATTTCGCTCAGCATAACACCCTCAAGGTCCATCCATGTTGCTACACATGGCCAGATTTCATTGTTTCTCATTGCCATGTAGTACTCCATTGTATAGATAAACCACATCTTCTTGATCATTCATCCGTTGATGGACACTTAGGCTCTTTCCATGTTTTAGCTATTGTGGAGAGTGCTGCTATGAACATTGGGGTACACGTGCTCCTATGCATCAGCATTTCTGTATCCCTTGGGTAAATTCCTAGCAGTGCTATTGCTGGGTCATAGGGGAGTTCTATTGTTAGTTTCCTGAGGAACCTCCACACTGTTTTCCAGAGGGGCTGTATCTTTCTTCTTCTTTTTTTTAAAGAGTAAGTCGAACAGTCCTCAGAAACCCCTTGGTAGGGTTCCCCTCGCATCTCACTGGCTGGACTTGGCTCACAAGAATGCCGGGCCAGAGGAATGGGGGCAGCCATGACTGGCTTAGCCTGGCACTCAGGAGGCTATGGCCCACAGGCCACATCTTCCAGCCACTTTCCAAATGCTCCCAAACTGTAGGCTGGAGCAGAATGGGTGAGGAATTGACAGTCAGGCTGAGTGTCCCCGGGGTACTCCTGGAAGGCAGAAGGCAGACATCCGCTGAGCAGGCTGGGCCACTTGCCCTTCCTGTGTTTAGCTCAACTCGCTTCTCTCAGCATCTGCCTTTTACCTTCCAGCTGCTTCCCCCAGCCCCCTCCTCCCCCTCCCCACAACCCTCTCAGGGGAAGCCCCCCTGCCATTAAGGCATGGTCAGCCTTGTCCCCCCGCTTCTAGGCATCTCTGCTACACGGTGCCTCTCGCACCCTGCAGCCTCCTACTAGAATGATTCTCAGTGGACAGTTTGTACCAGATGCTGATTATCGCATGTCTGGGGCTCAGGAGGGAGATTTTCTCCCCCAGGACACCTGCAGACTTCACTGTCAGGCCCTTCGTGCCACGTCATGGTCTGTGTGTCCACCGCAACCCCACTACATGAGTTCTGGTGGGGTGGTGACGAGGGGCACAGTTAAGGGCCTGCGTCTTGCTCTTCTATATCTGGATTGGTCATCCGCACAGGGAACTTAGAGCTTTCCGACTGTGTTTCCTCTTTCCATACAACTAGGAACATGTCTTGCCTTTTTTGTGACCTCCTGCCTTAGCAGGAGCCCACGTGAGCCAAGTCTGGAAAGTTCTCTCCGCCTCTCCTGTCCTATCCGCTGGCAAACCCCACTTTGTGTCTCAGCACTGGGCACAGTGTTCTCTCTTCCATGAAGCCTGCCCTTGGGCTGTGTCGGCTGGGTCCCCCTGTCTGTCTCTCCAGCACCTGATGAAGCATTGGGCACGTAGCAGACACGCTGCACATAATTGCCGAGTGAGTGACCAAAACGAATTCCAAGGATTCTGATGATTCTGGGGTTGACTGGCCAAGTGAGTCAACAGGAGCGCCCTGGCCTCCAGCAGTGTGCAGGGCTCGAGGGAGCCAGATGCCTGGTACTTTGGAGACGTGGGAACAGCCAGGAGTGCTCAGAGGAGGAAGCAGTCGTTTCCAGCCAGGAAGATCAAGGGGGCTTTATGGAGGGGGGTGGGGCCTGGAAGGATTGGAGTCGAACCTTCCCCTTCCCTATCAGTTCTGTGCACCTTGGGCTTCTGAGTCTGTTCTAGATGGTGAGGGAGCCACTCTGCAGCTGGTGCCGTTGCCAGGGCCAGTGCATAGGGGGACCCACTCTGTGGACTTGGAGCATACCGGCCGGACGTGAATGGGCAGGAAAGTGGAGGGCTCCCCCTTCCTGCTTGGGAGGCACTGGGAAGATAGAGTCATGTTTTACGGGTAGGGTGATGGGAACAGAAGAGACTCTGTTCGACTCTGGGCCAGCCGGTTTCCTTCAAAGTAATGGCAATCTGGATGTTTTGGTGGATAATCATTTACTTGGCTAGTCAGCAAACATTTATTGACCACCAAGTGTATACTAGAGATGGTAGGGCCTCCCAAAATCAATACCCCACAGTCCTTGCCCTCAAGGAATTCACAGCCTGGCAGAGGAGGGGAGATCTGTGCATGGCCAACAGTGGCATAGCCGGGTTGCTGTAGCAAAAGATACTCCTGGTGCCTGCCTGTAGTTATTTATTGGGTGTTTACATGTGCCAGGCTCTAGCCTAAGGGCTTATAATTTTTTTTTTTTTTTTTTACAAATAGTTTATTGTCAAATTAGTTTCTACATAACACTCAGTGCTCATCCCCAAAGTGCCCTCCTCCATGCCCATCCCCCCCTCCCCCCCACATCCATCAGTCCTCAGTTTTTGTCAGCATTCAAGAGTCTCTCATGGTTTGCCTCTCTCCCTTTCCCCCACCATTTCCGCCCTTCTTCTCCCGCTTGTTCCTCCATCAAGTTCCTCCTAATCCTCCTATACGTACAAACATATGATATTTGTCCTTCTCTGCCTGACTTATTTCGCTCAGCATAACACCCTCAAGGTCCATCCATGTTGGTACACATGGCCAGATTTCATTCTTTCTCATTGCCATGTAGTATTCCATGGTATAGATAAACCACATCTTCTTGATCCATTCATTTGTTGATGGACACTTAGGCTCTTTCCATGTTTTAGCTATTGTGGAGAGTGCTGCTATGAACATTGGGGTACATGTGCTCCCATGCCTCAGCATTTCTGTATCCCTTGGGTAAATTCCTAGCAGTGCTATTGCTGGGTCATAAGGGAGTTCTATTGTTAGTTTCCTGAGGAACCTCCACACTGTTTTCCAGAGGGGCTGCACCAGTTTACATTCCCACCAACAGTGTAGGAGGGTGCCCGTTTCTCCACATCCTCACCAGCATCTAGAGTTCTCTGATTTGCTCATTCTAGCCACTCTGACTGGCGTGAGGTGGTATCTCAGTGTGGTTTTGATTTGTATTTCCCTGATGAGGAGGGATGCTGAGCATCGTTTCATGTGTCTGTTGGCCATCTGGATGTCCTCTTTGGAGAAGTGTCTGTTCATATCTTCTGCCCATTTCTTCACTGGGTTGTTTGTTTTTCGGGCGTGTAGTTTGGTGAGTTCCTTATAGATTCTGGATATTAACCCTTTATCTGATATGTCATTTGCAACTATCTTTTCCCATTCCGTTGGTTGCCTATTAATTTTCTGGGTTGTTTCCTTGGCTGTGCAGAAGCTTTTAATCTTGATGAGGTCCCAACAGTTTATTTTTGCTCTTGATTCCCTTGCTTTTGGGGATGTGTCAAGTAAGAAGTTGCTGCGGTGGAGGTCAAGTAGGTTGTTTCCTGCTTTCTCCTCTAGGGTGTTGATAGTTTCCTGTCTCACGTTCAGGTCCTTTATCCATTTTGAGTTGATTTTTGTGCATGGTGTGAGAAAATGATCTAGTTTCATTCTTCTGCATGTTGCTGTCCAGTTCTCCCAACACCATCTGTTATCTGTTTTTTTAAATGTTTATTCGTTTTTGAGAAACAGAGTATGAGCAGGGGAGGGGCAGAGAGAGAGGGAGAGACAGGATCTGAAGCAGGTCCAGGCTCTGAGCTGTCAGCACAGAGCCCGACACGGGGCCCAAAGTCACAAACCGCGAGATCATGACTTTAGCTGAAGTCGGACACTTAACCGACTGAGCCACCGAGGCGCCCCTGTAGCCTAAGGGCTTTATACGTCGTTTCCTTCAGTCCCCTAACAACGTCGTGCAATGGGTGCCACCAACACAGATGAGGAAATTGAGGCATTGTGGAGTTACGTGTGTCCTAGCGTTAATAACGAGTGTACTGGCCAGAAAAACAGAACCAATAGAATAAATTGGTATTATTTATTTCAAGGGATTGGATCCCAAATCTTAAGCTTACTGTAGGGTGGCTGCCAGGCTGGAAACTTGGGCAGGCCCTCTTTGTTACAGTCTTTATTTTATTATTATTTTTTTTGTAAATGTTTTATTTATTTTTAGGAGAGAGAGAGAGAGACAGCGTGAGCAGGGGAGGGTCAGAGAGAGAGGGAGTCACAGACTGAAACAGGCTCCAGGCTCTGAGCTGGCAGTCAGCACAGAGCCCGACACGGGGCCCGAACCCACGAACCGCGAGATCATGACCTAAGCGAAAGTCGGACACTTAACTGACTAAGCCACCCAGGCACCCCTCTTTGTTAGTCTTGGGGCAGAACTTCTTCTCGGGGAAGCCTCACGTTTGCCTCTTAAGATCTTTAACTGATTAGATGAGGCCCATCCTCATTACCAAGGGTAATCTCCCTTACTGAAAGTCAACTGATAGTAGGTGTTAATTACATCCACCACATACCTTCTAGACCAGTGTTTGACCAAGCAATTGGGCATCATAGACAAGCCAAGATGACACATGTAACCATCCCAACCAGCAAGTTAAAATTGAAACCCAGATTCACATGACTTCAAAGGTTGGGGCTCTAAATTTCTATGCTGACAAAGGAAATACTTAAACTGGGGTTTTAAGGGATGAGTGGGGAGTTTGCCAGGTAGCCAAGAGGGAGAACATGTTCCAGGCAGAAGGAGTGATGTGCAGAGGCCCAGAGGTGGGGAAGGGCAGGGAAAGGTAGCAAGGCTGTATGCACTTGGCCTTATAAGGTGAACCGTAGAGACTAGAAGCCCCCCAAATGGGGACAGGTCCTGGTGGTATTTTAGAAAGCCCTTCCAGCTGCTGGGTGGAGTGTGGGTTAGTGGTCGTGAGGGTACAGTGAGAGTTTGGTTTGGAGGTGCGGAGGTGAAGGCGACGAGGACCTGAACTAATGCTCTGTGTGTGTGGGGGGGGGTTGGGGGGGTGGCAGAGAAAGGCCAAGGCTTGTGGCTCCTGGGGACCCCCCCCCCGTGGAAATGTGCTGCAGTTTGGCAATGATGCTTTCTTTCACCAAATGCTGGGGGTGCCACTGGGAGCAAGCAGATGGACTACCCTGGCCTCGTGAACCTTCCCCACTTCAGGGGAAGCTGAAAGCAAACAAGTAGAAAAGATTTCTGGCCTGTTTTCCAGAGTGGGGGGACCTAGAGTGGGGAGGCAGAGATTAGGGAGGAGGGCTGGGAGGGGGTTTGTGACTTTACAGAGGGCGGGTGGGAGAGTGAACACGGTGGGTGGGGGGAGGTGTTGTAGGCTGAGAAGGCGGCTGGAGTGGAGGGACAGAGGGAGAGCAAGAGATGACATCAGATGTGGGGGGCCAGCTTGAGTAGGGCCTCGTAGGCCTCTTGAGGGGCTGTGAGAGGGTGTCTTTGTTGGTGTGGTTCTTTATTATTTTTAAGTTTATTTATGTTGAGAGAGAGAGCTCATGCACATGTGTGCACAAGCTGGGGAGGGGCAGACAGCGGGGCGGGGGAGGAGAGAATCCCAAGCAGGCTCTGTACTGTCAGTGCAGAGCTGGACTCACGTGGGGCTTGAACCCACAAGCCAAACCGTGAAATCATGACCAGAGCCAGAATGAAGAGTTAGATGCTCAACCGACTGAGCCACTCAAGTGCCCTGGGTGTGTTTTGAGTTTCTGTCTTTGTGTTTATATTTGACATGCATGTTCCTTTTATTTTTGAAACCACTCGGTTGAGGTATAATTGACATTCAATAAATCACACGTATTTAAAGCCTGTAATTTGAAGTTTTGGCATAATGTATATACTTGTGAAGCCATCCCCGCAAACAAGGTAGTGAGCACATCCATCACTCTCCCTCCCCTTCCCCCCCCCCCCCCCCCCCCCCCCCCCCCCCCCCCCCCCCCCCCCCCCCGCCCCGGAGTTTCCTCACCTGCCTTTGTGACCTCTCCGCTCAGCCCCTCTCCACCTTCCAACCACTGGTCTGCTTTCTGTCACCAGACGTGAGTATACATTTTGTAGGCTCCTGTATAAATGGAATTCTATGTACGCTTTTTTGGCCTGGCCTCTTTCAACTCCTCATAATTGTTGGGAATCCCATCCATGTTGCTGCAAGTATCATAATTCATTTCTTGTTAATGCTGAGTAGTCTTCCCACCTGTGGGTGCATTGGTTTGTCCCTTCACCTGTTGATGGGCATTGGGGTTGTCTCCGTGTTCTGCTGTTGATTGAAATATAAATTCCATGTGGAGAAGTACCCGTATCCCAGGTGTGTGGATCAGTGCGCTACACACACCCCCATACCAGCCCCCAGATCAAAAACCAGAACACCACCTGCACCCTAGAAAGTCCACCTCATGTTGCCCCCCAGTCTCCCCGTCACCACCATCCAGACCTCTAACGGCATAGAGCAGCTTTGCCTCCTCTCCTGTTCCATGGCATCCTAGATACCCTCTGTGTGTTTCATCTGCATCGTTTGGGGTGATTTGTGTACACTGTTCGTTCTTACTGCTTCTCTCTTCTGCCGTTGGTGGGCTTCTGGGAGTTGCCTGCTGGGGTTATGATGCAGAGCGGCGCCCTGTGCATATGCGGGTGCGTGTCACATGTGCATGTTCTTGCCGGGCCGCAGGGGCTGCGTGTGTCCAGCCTGAGTGAATGTGCCCCGCAGCGTGCCGTGCTCCTGTGCGGCCCCCTCCCAGCCACAGGTCGAGGCCTGGCTGCTACACAGCCTCACCGACACTTGGTGTTGTCCGTCTTTTGCACTGAGTCATTCTGGTGCGTACACAATGGCTTCTTACTGTACTTTCCATTTGCATTTCCCTGGAAGAGTCCTTTTGGTTTTGGTGTTTCATTTTTTTAAATACTTGTTTATTTATCTTGAGACAGAGCACAAGCAAGGGAGGGGCAGAGAGAGGGAGAGAGAGAATCCCAAGCAGGCTCTGTGCTGTCAGCGCAGGGCCCGACAGGGGGCTCCATCTTAAGAATCGTGAGATCAGGGGCGCCTGGGTGGCTCAATCGGTTAAGCGTCTGACCTTGGCTCCGGTTACGATCTCATGGTTCATGGGTGCGGGCCCCATGTCCTGATTCAGAGCCTGATTTGGATTCTGTCTCCCTCTTGCTCTGCCCCGACCCCACTCACACTCTGTCTCTCTCTCTCTCTCAAAATTAAATAAACATTAAAAAAAAAAAGAATCTTAAGGTCTCGAGATCATAACTTGAGCTTCCGAAATCCAGAGTCAGACGCTGTAACCGACTGAGCCACCTAGGCGCCCCCACAAGATTTTGGCGACAGTCTGCTGTGATTGGCCGGCCCCAGCTGCCCCTCCCCTGCTCACGTGTCCCTGTTTCTTACAGGTCGCGTACTTGTCCACTGCCGGGAAGGCTACAGCCGCTCCCCGACCCTAGTTATCGCGTACCTCATGATGCGCCAGAAGATGGATGTCAAGTCTGCCCTGAGCATCGTGAGGCAGAACCGTGAGATCGGCCCCAACGACGGTTTCCTGGCCCAGCTGTGCCAGCTCAATGACAGACTAGTCAAGGAGGGGAAGTTGAAACTCTAGGGCCCTCCCGCTGCCCCTTCTCTAGAGGCAGACAGGGGAGCCCCTGGGTGAGGCGTCCCAAGCCACCATGTTTAGGAAACACAGTGTACCCTGCTCCCAGCATCACCAGGCACTTGCCCACCAGTCTCCCAACACAGCCCTGGGCCACTTTCCCCCTGGGGAGCGTATAAAGAAGCTTACGAAGGAGGGCATCCTTGTTCCCTGGTGTGTTCTGTGCCTGCAGTTTATAATGTCCCCTCCCCGAGGCGGGGGCGCAGAGGGAGGAAGGCCTGTGGCATGTGTACTTCTCCTGGATGACCGAAGGCAGGAGGTCCGCGCAAAGTATAAGGCTTGAGACGCCCACCGGGGTCCCTCCTACCCTCCGTTGCCCCCCTCCCCTGCTCCCTGCCTCCCACCCCTGGGTCCTCTCCTGAGTGAGGGACCTTAGCACCTCGAGCCCTATAAGGGAACTATGCAAACGCAGGCCCCTTCTCCACCCTCCCCCGTGCCCGTCTCTCCCTGCCCCCCCCCAGCCGACCATCCACACCTTGCTCATGGGCAGAGGCGCATCGTGAGGTCTGAAGCCGGCCTGGAGACACCATCGGTTGTCAGCGGGCGGACATTCCCACGAAGAGACTGCATTTTAATTATTTCCTTAGGATTAAAGATGCCTGAACAAAGAGGCCCCTCAGATGGGCAGACAGCCTCCCCTAAAGTCAGTAGTTTTTAAGATGCGAGGCTTTGGAAAGGCTTGCATTCAGGACCCACTGCTTTGGAATAGTCCCCCGCCCTGGACTGCTCTCGGTCGGTCGCTGGGTCTATTAGAAGAGCGATGCCTTGGGCATGGTTTTTATCTTATTTTATTTTATTATTTTTATTTTATTATTTTTAGAAAACAGAGTGTTGATGTTCCAGCCTATTTCAAAACCCCACCGTGGGAAGAATAGCAAAGGGTTTGCCCTGAATGGCAGCGTTGGCGGCTCCAGCCACTCGTGCTAACTGCCTTTTTGTCTGTGTGGCTGTTCCAAGGACAGAAGGAGGAAGTGGTGGGCCGATTACCCTGTGCGTGTGTGGGCATGTGTGTGGGGGTGTCTCAGAGCACAGGCGGAGGCCGGCCCAGCCGCTTCTCATCCTTCCCCACTTCTAGAGGGTCCTTAATGGTCCTGAGGTGCCAGGAACAGCCCCCGGGACCCCCAGGAGCAAAAATGACTCAGCCCAGCAGAAATGAAACACCGTGGCACGTTCAAATGGAGCTTTGGCTGCGAGAGAACAAACAACAAACAGGAACGGCCTCTTTGTAGGACTTTGTAGGGATGATGGCGGAACGTTCTGGCTCTTCCACGCGTGCGCACACCTGTCAGATTATAGTTTTGTTTTGGACGCCGTCTTGTTAGGACTTTCAGTGACTGTCACCAAGGAAAGTGAGGCATTCCTGTCTCTTCTGGTTCCCTACCAGCTGAGAGGTGGCCCCCATCTCCACCCCCAGCCCCTAGCACGCAGAGGTCTATACAAGTTCGTGGAATTAAACTTTTTTTTTTTTTGAGCACCAGATGTATGCAGGGTGTTCTGGTGGGCGTAGCAAGCTCCCAGAAGCCCGAAGGGAAAAATCCAGGGCTTTTGTTGAGTAGTTAAAATTCAGTTTTACAGTTGAATTCCGGCAGCGTTAAGCTGTCGACATAGGGAATGTGCCTTTTTCAGAGACAGACAAAGAGAGACGAGGTCAGACCAGGAGAAGCAGGGCCTCATGGGTGTCATGACCTCTAGTGCTGCATGGTCCCTTTTCTCTGTGACCACAGTCACCCTGGACAAACTAGGGTCTGTCGTCTTTTCCAGATACCGGACTGTTCACACAGACCCACCCAAGTGAACGGCCGTCCTCTCTAACCTGTGTACCTCACTTCACAGTTTCCTGAGAACTGTCCATGTAATCTAACTTGATCCTCTCGATAACCCCATCAAGTTGGTAGAGCTTCTTCATGGATGGTTACCTTTTAAGAAAAAGGAGCTGGGTTCAGACTGATGGAGGGCATGGCCCCTAGGCCGTCCCAGGCTCTAAGGCAGAGCCAAGGTGAGACTGCAGGTTTGCTGCTCCCTGAAGCTGAATTCTTTGCCTCATGCTACACTCCCCCTCCAGACAAGAGCCCCCTGGGAATGTCCAGGTGCCCTGAACCTGCCCTTGACCCAGGCTGTGTGCACAAGAGTCAGTTAGTGCTCCGGTCGGAGTACACTGATTCAAGCTGTCTGAGTGCGGGTGGGAGGGGTTGGGGTACAAATCCATCCCTGCTCCAGGAAAAGGAAGTAAAAAAGTGTGGGACCCCGATCTGGTTAGAACGTGTGGCTCTTTTTCTGGGAAACGTGAAGCATCCCTAAGTTGGAGCTTCCTGCTCTGCTTCTGGAAGAGGCTCTGGGGCTGGGGGGCCAGGGCTCCCCCTCCCCCTCTTAGACAAGGGTCACCCCGCACCTGCAGGGCAGCCACAGCTCCTTGGACTGGTTAACCAGACCTCTTGAAGGCCTTTCGGTTGGGGCACAAGGGAGAAAAGGCCATCGAGAGAATTACTGCCTTTACTCTGGGGCTACTTCTATCCTGAGAACTTGGGATTTCTCGGTGGTCTTTAGTCCCAGAAACTCTGCATTTGCTTCATGAGATTTAGCTCCTAATTTTTGAGTAAACTAAAATTCTATTGTGTAAGAGCCAGCATATGCCCAGCTGTGAGTGGAAGCTGCTTCTGGACAGCTTTCTACCCCTGGGAAATGATGGAATAGGAACTCAGGGTGCCCTTACCCTCTCCCCTGACCTGATCCCTTTCTCCGACTAGCAGACCCTCACTTAGGTCAAATTAGAGCACCAAATGGTTTTCTCAAATCTAAAGCAGTACACGTTCCACAGGCTGGTCTGTATCCCTGCCACTCCGAGTTATCTGGAGAGCAGAAATCACCCACCTGTCAAACAAGGGGCCTCATCTGGAAGACCTCTGAAGTCCCTTTGGCTCTGACATTGTCGGGTTCTCGGAGAATTCCCACCTGGAAGTTATCACCACCTGGAAATGAGAGGCTATGTAATAATCTGACGACCAGCAGGTGGCACTGTGTTCCGCCCATGGTGATGGTTGGTTTGAAAAGGAAAGTTGGTGCCTTTCGTGTCACAAGTTAATGTTAAGATGCTAATGTTTTAATTAAAATAAGCACTGATCTTATAATATGAAGATACGAGCTTTCCTCACAGGAAATTTTCTGTCATAAAACCGGCGTCAAGAATCACTGAGGAGCCAATAGTGTTGGTCTTTCCAAGTCAAGATTTTATCCTGATTGGAAAAGAAACCCTCTCCGGTTGAGAGAGCAGATCCGTCGGAAGCTTAACTTACTTCCTGTCAGCTTTTAGGGCAATTCGATTGTGACAGCATGAATTTTCTGGGGAGAAAAGGGGAAGGTATTAAATTGGTTTTAAAGGAAAATAAGCTTAACGTCTGTTGTATCACAAATCAGTGTTAAAACACTAACTGTAACCAAAATAAACATCTTACATTACATAGAAATGGTCTGTTTGTCCTTCTTACCACAGCTGATTTTCTTCCCTGCTCTTCTGCTTGCTTTTTCTCTTTTCAAAAGAAGCATCATCTAAAAATCAGCCCTCCTGAACTAGTTCTTTTTTTTAATGTTTATTTATTTTTGAGAGAGAGCGAGACAGAGTGTGAGATGAGAAGGGACAGAGAGAGAGAGGAAGACACAGATCTGAAGCAGGTGCTAGCAGTTCAGAGCCAGACATGGGGCTTGAACCCACGAACTGCAAGATCATGACCTGAGCTGAAGTCCGGTGCTTAACCGACTGAGCCACCCAGGTGCCCCTGAACTAGTTCTAATTTCCATAATGATTATATTTAGCAGTAGATATTTATTTATTTATAAGTGTTTATTTATTTTTAAATACTTATTTATTTTGAGAGAGAGAGAGAGAATGAGCAGGGTGGAGGGGCAGAGAGAGAGGGAAAGAAAGAATCCCAAGCAGGTTCGGCATTGTCTGCAAAGAGCCCAAACCGTTGCGAGATCGTGACCTGAGATGAAATCAAGAGTTGGATGCTCCAGGGTGCCTGGGTGGCTCAGTCAGTTAAGCATTTGACTTCGGCTCAGGTCATGAGCTCCCGGTTCGTGGGTTCGAGCCCTGCATCGGGCTCCTGTGCTGAGAGCTCAGAGCCTGGAGCCTGCTTTAGATTATGTGTCTCCCTCTCTCTCTGCTCCTCCCCTGCTTGTGCTCTTACTGTTTCTCTTTCTCAAAAATAAATAAACATTAAAAAAAAAAAGTTGGACACTCAACTGACTGAGCCGCCCAGGCGCCCTCTGCAGTAGATATTTATTAAGCATCTTCCCTATACCAGAAATTTCCTGTGATAGGAATAATCTTTTTTATTTAATTTCTAAGAATCGCAGCTGTTGCGAGGGATAATTGACTGGAACATTCTTGAATAGAGTGGCCCAACCTAAATGAGGGAGGTAGATCTGTTTCCAAGAAAGTAGGAGATGGGGGCTGGAGGTGGGGGGAGGGGACAGTCATAAGGTGGCCTGCTGTGAAGATGATTAGGTGGCATTTTAGGGTTTGGGTGGTCCTGCAAAGGGGCAGTCCCCAAACATGGCCTTGTCCCCAGATGCCTTGTACTTCACCATTAGCATTTATCTCCCTTATGATAAGCACTGGCTTTTTCTTTTCTCTGAATGAAAAACTCGAAAAAATAAAAACACCGAAAGAGTTTGGTACCTTTTCTCCATGACAGAAAAAAACCTCTTCCATCCCTAGTTCCCCATAGCAGAGGCACCCAGACTAACTCATTATTTGCCCAATCTCTTTGGCAATATAATCTTGATATTTTAACATAAAATTTTAAGGCACAATACGAATCTACGAAACTGGTCAAAGTGTTTTTTTTTAAATGTCAGTTTAAAAACCTCATGGAAAAAGTAGTACTATATATGCATCGTATAAATTCAAACAATACAGAAGGCTTCTCACAAAAAGCAAGTCTTCTACCCCCAACCTTTTAATCCCTGCTCTCCGAGGAGGCTGCTATTAAGAAGTTATATCCTGTGAGAAAAATCCCATGCATGTGCCTATGTGCGTGTGTATAGAGATATCTGTAGTGAATGTTCTGCACTTTGCTTTTTTTGCTTAACAGGCAATGGTTTCTTATAAGACCATTCGTTTTACTGCTACATAGCATTCCACTGTGTATGGTGTACTGTGATTTCCGTATACCCTTATTTTAAAGGTCCAGGCTGCTTTAAGGAACACAGAATGTCGAGATGAATGACAGTTGCAACTTCTCTGCTTTATATCCTGTTCATTTCTGTCATCTGTTGCAGTGGTACAGCGTCCAGCACATCCCCGTACTCAGAGCTAAGGAGGATTGTTCTGTACTTGCCCGTACAATTTTATGGGGGTTTCAGTGGGTGGGGGGGATGCCCGGCTGGTTCAGTCGGTGGAACATGTGACTCTTGATCTCAGTGTCACGAGTTCAACCCCACATTGAATGCAGAGATTACTTTAAAAAAAAAAAAGATTATTTTGAGGGGGGAGGGTAGCATCCCAAGCCTAATTTTTAGAAAGACAGCCTCTGAGCCATGGCCTTCCGAATTGATGACCCATTTTATAAGAAGTCCAAATGCAAAGATTCGGTTTCAGAAGTCTACAATAAAATGAGTTAACCTAGAGCCAACACAAAGAATGGGTGGTCTCCAACTCGTTGAAAGCAGATACACACCATGTGTGGTCAATGTGTGTGTGTTTATTTATATTTTTAAACAGTTGAAATGTACATACTTTTTAAAATCTTAAGTACTTGCTTCGGCAGCACATATACTAAAACCTTAGGACATCCCTGTGGAAGTGTGGGGTTCTGAAAGATCTGGTCTGCAAGCCCATGAGCTCGATGGCCTTCCAGTGGAACATTCTTCATGCACTGGAGGCCTGGGGCAGCCGCCCTGAGAGGCCGGAGGGCCGAAAGAAGAGGAAGAGAGGAGTTGAAAAGGAGAATGGAGAGCAGACGGCAGGTGCAGCGGGGCTTGGAAGAGGGACATCAGTCTCCAAACACATGGGATGACAGAGCCTCTCTTTGGCCAGACTTTACCCATTCTCTCCTGACCTCTTCTTTTATTTAATGTTTATTTATTTTGAGAGAGAGAGAGAGAGAGAGACCACGAGCGGGGTGGGGGAGGGCAGAGAGAGAGGGAGAGAGAGAATCCCAAGCAGATTCTGCACTGTCAGCACAGAGCCTGATGCGGGGCTTGAGCTTCCAAACCGTGAGATCATGACCTGAGCCAATATCAAGAGTACAACACTTAACTGACTGAGCCATCCCGGCGCCCTTGACTTGGCCATTTTTAACAAGTGTCATGAAGACTTGTTTCTTTAGGGTTTTCAGACGAGGGCCCTGCAGGCAGAGGGTGGTAGTTTGGATGGCTGTTGGGGAGGTTCTGGAATGAATTGGGCCCCATCTCGAAGGGCCTGGTTGCCAGAAAGAAGGACACGGAAGGTCCATCCTGTTAGGATTGGGGGAACCATTGGCCCATTCTAAGCACAGGGTGTGGGGGGGGTGAGTGACAATGATCTTTGGATTCCTCTCTGCCCCTTAGAAGCTGCTGACCCAACAAGGGGGAAGAGTTCCACTTTCCTCCTGTGTCAGGACCCTGCACTCTCCAGGGAATCAACTCTCAACTGTGAATAAAGACAGACTGGTGTGGGCGCCCCTCACCTCAGGCAGCTGCCTATGAACAGATTGCCCTCCGAAACCAGATACCCCGTGTTAACCCCAACCTGTGGGAGTAAAGTCTGTGTAAAAATGGCAGCCAGCAAGGAGAAACTTCAGGTCCCGTGAATTACAGATAGGTGGCTTGAGTACCAAGTAGAGAGTTCGATGCCTTTGGAGGGTTCTTTTGGATCAAAGATCCTATAATCCCGAGGACTCAAAGGAGCATAGCTTACTTTCCAAACTGTCCTTCACAGTGCGTTCTAAATGCCTCGTCTTCCTGTGACAGATCCCGCGGTTGGAAGAGACTCTTCTCCCCTCTGAAGGCTCCTAAACCTTTGTCCTTTTAAAAAAAAAATAACTGAAGGACCAGAACCTTTCCTCAGCAGCACTAACCGCTTTCTTTGCTGAAGAGCTGTTTTCTTGCCTGGTAGAGGAGCTATTGGAGGGGGGCATGAATCAGTCCACAGCTCCTGGCAGGAGGCCTGGCTTCATTAAATGTTTGGCAAGTGGACATGTGATCAGGCAGCTTGGTGGAAATGAAAACCAGCAAATCATCACAGAGAAAAACAGCCTTGCTAGAAATTTAGGCACAACGATTCAATTACTAGATGCAATTAAAAATTGTTTAGCCCAAACCCAGTGTGGGCAAACTTGCGGACACCCAGGCCATTAGGCGCTGAGTTGTGCCCCCTCCAAACTTCATATCGTGAGTCCCAGCCCCTGGTGCATCAGAACATGACCTTATTTGGAAGCAGGTTTGTTGCAGATGTAATTAGAGAAGATGAGGTCATTAGGGTGGGCCCTAATTTAATATGATTGATGCCCTTATAAGAAAGAGGAAATTAGGACACAGACAAGCACACAGGGGGAACACATGTGAAGATGACAGCAGAGATCAGGGTGCAGCTTCTAGAAGTCAAGGAACACCGAAGATTGCCAGTAAAGGCACTGGAGGCGAGGGCAAAGGCATGGAACAGACGCTCTCATGTAGCCATCACGAGAAACCAACCCATCTAACACTGGTCTCACAGAACTGTGAGACAATGCATTTCTTTCTTTTTCTTTTTCTTTTTTTATAATTTTGAGAAAGAAAGACTGTGCACATGCACATGCATGAGCAGGGGAAGAGCAGAGAGTGGGGGGGGGGGGGAGACTCCCAAGGAGGCTCTGCAGTGTCATTTCAGAGCCTGACGTGGGGCTCAATTTTGCAAACCGTGAGATCATGACCTGAGCCTAACTCAAGAGCTTAACCAACTGAGCCACCCAGGCGCCCCGAGACAATGTGTTTCTGTTGTCTGAGCCACCCAGTTCCAGGTACTTTGTTCCAGCAGCCTTAGCTGACTTACACATATGCCTGCTGGTATGCCACTCGTGGGACCGGGGACCTGGCTGAGTTTTCTGGAGAACAATCCTGCAATACCCAGCCAGTCATTCACCCTCTCAGACCCAGCATTCGCTTCTGGAAATAACCCTAAAGTTTTTTTTTAATTACTTTGTGGAATATTATCCAGCAATAATAAGGAACAAATCACTGATACATGCATCCAACAACCAGGGTGAATCTCCAGGGAATTAGGTGGAGCGAAAAAAGCCAATCCTAAATGGCTATGTACTGTTTGATTCCATGTATATAACACTTCCGAAATGACAATGTTATGGAAATGGAGAACAGATTAGTGGTTCCATGGGTTAGGGCTGAAAAGGGAGGGCATGAGGAAGAAGGTAGGTGTGGTTATATCAAAGCAGTGACAGGGGTCTTTGTGATCAAAGTTATTCTCTCTCTTGGCTGTGGTGGATAC